GATCCAATTCAATCGATTGGTCTCTCAATTGATTCATTTCTTGGAACTTCATTTTGAACCTATTTTTTTTAATACAATTTTTATTCATTTTGTTAAGATTACATAATTATTTATAAAATAAGTAAAAGTAGGTAGGAAATATGTATATTTTTTTTTCTTGTATTAGATCGTACATTCAAAATCATACATATTATTTTCTTTCATACTTGTCTTAATTCTCAAACAATAATCAAGTAATGTTAAAATTTGATCCTATAAAAATAATGTACATCTTGCCTAAAGAAACTAAATAAACGTGAATTGAACTATGATCTATCTCACTCATTTATTTTTAGTCTCACTCACTCATGAAACAAAGATCGGCGTCGTTACTGATACATTCGGAGCTAGTGTGAGTGATTGATACATTTTCTCGGCGTGAATGATATATTTTAGATTATATTTTAGATAGATTTTAGATCACTCACTCAGGAGCTACACAACTCTATTTAGCAGTAAAATTTTTACTCATCAGATTATAAGACAAGAAACAAAGTCTTTAAGACATACAATAAAGTTGTTCATAAGAAAAGTAAGATGTATATCGTGAAGATTGGTGTGTGCGTGTCTATGCAAGCGCGTTCAAGCGTCACAAACATTGCACATACAGGGGCCATCTGTTGCTAAATAATGTTACCGGATGCCTATGAATCAAAATAAACAGAAATCGTGTAATGAGAATTCTAGATCTCTGTTTATTCGTTTTGTTTTCGTGTTAATTGATATACCAACGGAAAATATCACATTTAAATTATTGTAACATCCGGTAAACTACTATCTAAAAATACTCTATCTAACACTACCTTTCTTATTTTTCCTAAAGCCTGTTTTACAAGTACTGCCTCATATTTGAATGTAGTAATTAAATTTGTTATTATTATCACATTTTGTTACGATTTGCACGCCTGTACCCTGTAATATTGAAAGGAATTTCATACCTATAGAATGTACTGTTTTGAAAAGTTCTGAGGTAACAAACATAAAAAAAATACAGTCGAATTGGGAACCTCCTCCTTTTTTTAAAGTCGGTTAATTAAATAGATTGTGTTGATGTTGGCAGATGTAAAAAAAATAGCAGTCGCGCGACGTCTCGCAGATGTGAAAGAACCAAATTATTTTGTGGAAATCATGATTACTTTCCTCATACTCCACCAATTTGATTAAAGGAAAACCCTTAAATAAAATTTTGTAAATGATCTGGTTTTACCAGGGTGAATAATTTTATAGAGTCCCGCACAAAAAATAACATGACGTAGATAGTTATTTTACTTCTACTTTTTAAAAGTTATTCTTATATTTTCCTTATTATATTAAACAAAAAATCTATTGTTTAATTTTCTCATGGATTTTCCAAGGTTTTCTGTACATACAACGCCATCTATTGAAATTGTTTGTAAAGTTTATTTTGCGACACAGCGTTGTTTGTTAACACAGCGCAAATACAATGCTCCGTGGTTGTTAAGCTCACCATTTGCCGATAGAGGCGCCACTCAAGCATGAATGAACTCATGAATTAGGTATTACTCGTAGTACGAGCAGTACGAGTACCTATGTATAATTTTTGCGTTGATAAAGGATCTCCCCAAAAAATATACATCAAATATTTTGTATTGTAGTAATCGGCATATATTCCTTCCTTTTAAATATTAACAAATTGAAAAAAAAAAATAGTTTTAACTGATATCTTAAAAAAAAATTTTTCGGAGTTAAAAAAATATTCAAATTAGATAATTATTATTCGTAAATGTAGAACGTGGATAATTTTTTTTTTTCTCTATTTTGCCATTAATTTGGTTGGCCTCATAAACTTCGATTGCATGGATGGCGTAGTGGTTTAAGCCGTCACCTCACCGCTTCCTACTGCACTGTGTTGTGATCCACAAATAGCTGTTCTGAGTCTGGATGTTCTTTGTATCCGTTTCATGTATGTGTTTGTTACTTAAGTCCCCCGCAACAGAGGATATATTCCTAGTAATATATCCTCTGCGGGAGCTTTCTTTAAAAAAAATAATTTGATTTGAAATGAGTGTTGTCAAAAATTACACCTGTATTTTATATTCTATCATTATCTTTCATATTCGATTGTTTCATAGGATTTAATAATATCACAAAGAGGTAATAAAATACCGTGACCGCCCTATGATCAGCCCTAATAAAATTATGACGATGATAGAATAAAGTGGGAGGTGGGAGTCTTTAACGCACGGGACCAAATTATATCTTGTCTAAAGTCACTAGCGATTACTGGCATCATAAGTCGCTATGTATTGTTAGGTCTCATATAGATTTGTTGTGGTTCGTTCATCTTAAGAATTTACGAAGCTGATCTGTATAAATATCTATAGTTTTTCTAAGCGTGGCAGTAAATCATGTAGTGTCGATTAAATTAAACATTGTAGGCACTATTTGTAATGCCAGGAGAGTACAAAGGCAGTGAGGTAATTTAAAGTATCTAACTGCATTATGCTGGGCGCTGGAACATCCATGGAATTCAACACTTCTCCCCCAACCGGAGTTTGAGCGACATCGAGGTTTTCCTCAACCTGCGTGCGACAGCAGGGGGGGTCGATAGTGGACCTTATGTTCGGTACCCCTGCAATCGCTGGACGAGTAAGGAACTGGCGTGTCCTGCTCCTGAAAGCTGGTCGGCGCTGCTTCTGCCTTAGGGCGACTTTTTCAAAATTTGGCTTACACGGGGGTTGTCCAGTCAATGGCACTGTACGGTGCACCGGTGTAGGCTGCGGCTCTGACCGCCCAGAATAGGGCACGCCTCTGGCGCCCTCAGAGGATATTGGGGGTTAGAGCCATACGTGGTTACCGCACCGTATCGACGGACGCGGTGTTCGCGTTGGCAGACGGCAGCACGGGACACTTTCCTTCCGGCTTACACAGGTCCTTTCTGGGCACGGCTGCTTCGGGAAGTACCAGCACTCGGTCGCTAAGAGGGAATGAAGTCCCGCCTGTCACCACTGCGATTGCAGTGAGGACTTGGCTCAGCACATGCTGGCAGTTTGCGCAGCTTGAGCGCGGCCGCGCTGACTCCTCATTGCAGTCATCGGATCTCTCGCTACCAGCCGTCATACGCTCCATGGCCGGTAGTGACAGATGTTTTACCGCGGTCGCATCCTTCTTAGAAGACGTCATCTCGCAGAAGGAGGCGGCGGAGACGGCCCGGGAGGACAATCTCCACTCGGACCCAATTCGTCCACTCGGTTCCAAAAACGAGGAGGAGCGCTTTCCACCGCCTCATGCCACCTCGAGTGTGGCCGCGGGTGGACGGGACGGGTTTTTCCCATCACCTGCAATAACGGCCAGCCGCGAGGAGGCGACGTCCGCCTGTGCCGGATGTCGCCTAAATGGAGAATGCACCCGAAGATGGTGCCCGCGCCATTGCGGGCAGGCGCTAGGAGGGGTTCGGATGTCTTCATAATAGCGGTTCCCGGATCTCTCCTATAACAGGCGCAGAGTGGCACACCCTGTGGTTTTAGTCGCAAACAACAAAACAAACGCAACAAAGTACAACAGCAATAATATTAAAATCTAGATTTTTTAATATTGGCTATGTTGTTGGATATACAATGATATTATTAAAACTGTGTCTTTGGAGAAAGACGCAGATCCAATAACGAGTTGGAGTCTTGGCATAGCAAACAAATAAAAGAAATGGAACAAACTAAATACGTCTCCTGAAATTATTAGTAAAACTATCAAAAACTAAAAAGAATATCCATTTATAACCAGAACCGAAACGTCTTTTAATATTTAATAAAAACAAGTAAAAACTTGGCTACAATCGACAATGACAGAAAACCGACTTGTCGGCCTCTGAATGATAAGTTCATGAAAAGGGAATTAATTGTATTGTATTATAAAATTATAAAAATAAGGTTAGAATTACCTAAATATTAAAATCAAGTTTTTGGTGACAACAACAAGTTGACAAACTATAACCACCCTAAATATACGTATTTACGTTGGTCATACTCGTAGTAGATCCTCTTTTAGTATACTGCATAATCCTTTATTTCTCTAGACTGATCTTTAAATTGTTGTTCTCTAACCATTGTATCATTGATTTTAGAGAATTATTAAAGTTACTATTATACGTTTTTTTAATTTATACATGGTATCGTAATAGTACTGTCATCGGTAAATAGTGTCGGCAAACATTGGTTTGTGCTTTTGGGTAGGTCATTAATATATATGATGAATATATTTGACGGGCCTGTTGCTCTAGTGGTTAATGACACTGACTGCTAAGCCAGAGGTCGTGGGTTCGATTCCCACCCAGGACAAATATTGTGTAATGAGCACGGTCATTTGTTCTGTGTCTGGGTGTTATTTATTTATAATCTGTATGTATTTAAAAATATATAAGTATGTTTATCAGCAGTCTGGTTACCATAGCACAGGCTCTGCCTAGTTTGGCATCAGACGGCCGTGTGTGAGATGTGTGAGGTATATACATTTGGTATATATTAGAGGTATATATATTATTATCTGACGACACCTACCGATGATTTATATATTTCTTTACGTTTTGTGAGTGTATTCATTGTAGATATTTCTGTGTATTGTTTCCTGTCTTATATATTTTAATAGACTGAGAACGTTGCCGCGAATACCATAATAGAGGGGTTTATGTGATACTAGAAGCACACTAAAGAAGAACAGTCTGGTCTTAATTGTTAACCTCTTAATCAATTCTCGTGAAAACGCCGTCTTTCATTGACACGAGTATTTACTAATTTTGATCGGCAGCAACAACGCAATACTGTCTAGTGGTTCCATTTTGCGTCTTAATCGCAAAGGAAATAAGTACCGTTATATCCTACCTCACAAAACTAGATTATAGTTAGACTGTTATAAGTCATCAACACAAAAAAAAACACTTGGTGGTTTTAGACTCATTTTGTGCTTCCACATGTGCTGTTTAAAACTGTCATAAAAATTAAGTCCACTTACCTAGGTTTTTTGACCGGTGTCGGGTTTGGTTTCTTCGCACGCCACAAAAGTAAACAATCGAAGGCCCCTTTTTTGAAAGGAGGTTTTAACATTTTCCACCGCTTTCTAAAATCCAATGTCTTTGTATTCACTGAATTCTCACTAATTTCCGTGGCACTGAGAATATTTGGTTCGGAACTACCTTTTCTAAGTTCATTCGCACTATTTGATTTTTTAGAAACCTTTTCAAAAATAAAATCTGACACAGATGCCGGAGTAGATCTTCTCTTAGACAGGGGCGTTGACGTCACAAAAGATTTGTCAACTATAACACTGTCCATACCACTGTCTGAAAGCTCTGAATAGTCTGTGATTCCCTCAGATATGCTATGAAGTTTAGGTTTTGTCCTTTCGACCACTGGCTTCGCATTCAATATACTGTTTTCTTCGAAATTTTTGCTCTTAACGCTGTGTACATCGACAAAAGCAGTCACATCTTCGCAGCTTTTAGTGTTATATTTGGACAAGGTGAAGTATGTCTTGGCCTCTTTCTTCGGCTCCGGGTGCACTTCCATAGTACCGACGGCAGCCAAATTATCTTCACTTTTGGAAAGCACTTTTAAGTTAGATAAAACTTTCTTTGGTCTCGGGGGACGTTGTGGAATATAGTGAGGTGTGTCACGCGACAACAAGTAGGGTCCGTCTGCTCTCTTTGTCGGTTTCGAATACTTTGCGATAATTTTGTTTATTTCAGCGTGGTTCTTGCGTCTATGTGTGTGTCGTTTAAAGTTGAGTGGCTGTTGATAAGAGTCTGCTACACTTGCTCCGGCGACCCTAGCTGACCTTTCGCGCCATTCGGCCACTTTGTCCTCTATCAGCCTCTGCAACTCGAGCGCGCGCATCATCGGTCCTATCTCTGGCATTTTTGTGATGACCGGCCTCTTTCAAATTATGTTTATTATATTTGGCAATCTCTTTGGCATACATATAGCGTTGAGTATTTTTGTTGCGTCAATTTCTGTAACAAATAACAAAAACACTATTTATTAGTCGGCTAAGAGAAAAATTATTTATATATGTATATATTTATCTGCACACATTCTCATTAGGTATGTATTAAGAAACACTCAATATATAATATTTTTTTAAACAAAAGACCTCCCGCATTAGGAATATATTCTGTGTCGCAGGGAACTTTATACACACATACATATGAAACGGACACAAAGAACACCCAGACTCAGAACAACAATTTGTGTATCGCACGTAGTTAATATTAGGTAGTGCAGTAAATATTAGGACCAAAATTATATAAGCACCTTGAGTAAAATAAAAGTAACCAAGGTATACGAATTAAGGCTTTGGTTATTAGTTCAAACAGTACTAGTAGTAAGTACATACAATTTAGAGTAATAAGGTTCCAAATTAAAACTTGTCCTGAGTCCTGAATGTACAAAAATGACACCCCCTCCCCTCTTCCTCCTCGTGTCAAAAGCTAAAAGTGCCTTCGGGAATCCGTGTTTTGAAACGGTGATTAACTAAGTTGTAGTACCTACAACAAGTAATTGTACGCAGGAAGCGCCTGCCGCGATTTCTAGTATCACACAGCCTGTAACATCCTTCCGAAAACGTATATTTAACATCTGCATCCTATCAATTATTAAAAGAAGTAGGTAACAAAATTGTCGGAAACATCGAAAGGTTATCGTCGACAATCTTGATAAGACATTTTGCAACCGATTTCCACTCGTTTATTGTTTGTGTTTGATTATATTATTGCTTGTAGATTGGTTTATGCACTGTATTTTGCTGACTGCACCTATACTCAATTTGAACATAGTTATTTTGTATATTATTGATGATTCATAGAGAATCTTTCGGAAGAATACTTGGCTATACATAAAGTGACCAAATGTCCCGTTTTGAACGGGACTGTCAAGTATTTCAATTCTCATTTCAAGTGTACCGAGTCCCGATTTCCTAATAGTCTAGCCTATTATTAAAAACTGGCGGGCCAGCAGATATTTTGTATTTTAATTGGATATAATATTTATATTTGACTAGCACAAATGCACAAGTAGAAAGAGTTTTTGTCTAATGAACGAGTTGTGAGTGACTGAAAAAGCCATCTACCGGTTCTAGTTCTTATAGCGACTTTGATTATAAAGGTGAATATTAAAAAAAAGTGTCAAGAATTTTATTCTTACTTAAAATCATATATATTAAAACATATTTTTTGTAAATATGTCCCGTTATTTGTAAAAAGAAATAGTCACGTTAGCTATGCACTAAGACAAGCAGCTACAGGTAGGTACTGTTCTTTGAGATGATTCGAAGAGAATAAGAATATGTACAAAAATGAGTTATGTGTATTATTGACATAGGCCTAAGTAAAAATTATAAAAATAGTACTTACAGGCGCGGGCTAATAACACCGCTACAGCGGTACTATGTAATGTTGGTTATTCTTTAGACACCATTCAACAGATCCAATCATACTGAGCACGAATTGATCGAATTTTATTGTTACTTTGAACCAATATACAGGTATACGTCATGTTTAACAAAAAGGCAACCAAACAATGCTGGAACATAGTCTGATAACTGATAACAAATCGCAAGAGAGGAGAGATAATGTTTTTGATTGCGTACCTACTTATTTTAAAAATTCCAATTTGACATACTTATCTAGAATTGAAAATACGTTTAAAATCCTTTTCCTGGCAGCACATTAGAGCTCTTCTGTAATCTTGAAACACAATGTATTGTGTAAAAGTAAACAGTTAATGTTATCCGTCATTACGTAATTTTATTCTCAGCGACTGAGTGACTATGTAGGTCTAACCTACGCGTTTCGAAATTCTAATCAGCCTTTTCGCGTAAAAGCCATAAGATAAATTATGTGTAACAATTGTAGACGTAAAAAGTTTAAAACTAATCTTCAAGGTCGTAAGTAGGTTTTAGTTTTTTATTTACTTTATTGTACACGAATTTTATTAGATCCTAAACTTAAGAAGAGGTATTGATTTAGTTTTTATAATTTTACCCAAGTATTAAAAATCTTAACATGTAATGGGATAAATAATATAAATATCTATTTAATTATACACATATTAAAAAGTAAACTAAAAATATACATTCGTAATTAAATAATAAGTACTTCTAAATGTAGAATATAGATACTATACAAATACATATTTACTTAGAAGGAAAAAGTTCCATACAGGTTCGAGTAAAAAAATATATAAAAGAAAGTTCTGCATATAACAAAGGAAAGTTCAACATAACATACAAAACGATGTACTTACACACTTTAGATCTCTACATTGTCTTGTGTATCACAAAGAGAACAAAAAGATCACTGAAGTCTGTACTTTTCACCACTAATCTTTAGCACATTCTCTGCATATATTACCACTGTTAATTTATAATTTTACACAATTCCTGACGGTGTTATGGCGCGTCAACTCACACGTGTGTCGTAGATACGTGCAGATTCCACAGTGAGCCACTAAGCGTTCCAGGCGAATACTCCTGCACTTGACTCAGCCACCAACATCCACTGGCTGACCCATCCCGCTGCCACACACACAATGGAATAACTAGAGCACCACAGAGCATTACTCCATAAATTATTGTCAGTCATATTATTACATCACATTGTAGTAGGTTTGTGGCCCCTGTTTTTTTTTCTCGTTATGGTTGCGATTGATCACATAATATTTCTAATATCTTGTTAATATTTCTACGTAATGTACGAAGAAGTTCTTTAATTACATAACAAACAGAATGTCGGCCCATGGTCGAATATGCTGGTAAGGCAATCAATAATTTGCATTCGTCATATCAGTCTCCAAGACAACATAAACTCCCTTTTTCCCCTCCATGAAGGGAGCTCTGACGAAACTTATTAATATGAAAAGTGATCAAAGCCGTTTTTCGGACACTTACTTTATATCGTATACTTTTACGACGAGCAACTCCAATTCGAGCAGAAGTTTAATGCTCTTGTTACCTTCTCCTTAATGGATCTAATAATTTTTTCTCGTAAATCTTCGATTAAACCATTAAAGATCTAATAGAAACATATTATTTATACATTTTTAATATCTACCATTTTAAACAAACAAATAAAACTCTTAGCACACTGTAAGTTGTGCTCCCAGTGACACAGGAATCAATGGCAGGAACGTAAATTGTACTTCTTAAAATAGTCCTTTATGTAAATAAAATTGATTTATATTTATAAGATGTGTGCTCCCATCGGTATTTATCAACAGAATTATGTAATATTTCCTCTTACAATTTTTTTCCATTGGCTCTTACAATTAAATCTGAAGTCCAACCCACTCCCATTTTCTCATATTTGCTTTGCAAAAAAAAAGATTTAATAATCCGTAATTATCATATTCTGTTGCCGTAAATAAATTGGCACTTTAAAACATTTATACTTTCTAACATGTCTACAATATTTGTAAACTTATATTTTTTATGAAGTCTGATAAGTGAGTAAAGCAGTTTATTTAATTGTAGGTTCTAGTAAACTAGTGTTTTCTCGATAATTGTTATTCCACCGTAATCTGTATCGATATGGAAAAAGATATACATATCAATTTGAGTTTTTCAAACGTATTTATATTTTATTTTTACATGACATTCATTTCTTGATTTCGTTAACCTTGTCCGTGTTACTAATAAACAAATCAGAGAAAAAAGAAAATCGATTGACAAAATAGTGACACAACAAAGTTTTGGTCAAAAGTCAATTGTTTTACATTTGCCTATTTATAGTCTTTACATTCCTACTTTAAAACTGCTGTTCCAATTTCAAACCCCATGGAATAGTTAATTGCTATTATCTGTATTCTTAACACTACGTGGGACATTGTTCGCAGCTGCGGGCGTGACATCGGCTTCCGCCAAGTTCATTGTCGCACCGCTATGTCGTTGTCGCACTCGTGCCCCACTGTGACCCCGCCCTTATTATACATTATTTCAACAACAGAAGAACCTTGGTTTTGTATGATTGCGGTAAAGAATTCTTTGTTAAATACTCTCTACTGCTGTGACGCTATTTCATAATTGTTGGTTCTGTGATGTGTAGGTAGGAAGTGACACGAAACCACAACATACATTATGAACAGTTTTGTAGAAGTTAATAAGCTTTATTGTGGTCTTTTATTTATGTAATATATTAAATAACAAATTAAAAAATATTGAATATAGGTGTCCGAACTTCACCGATTGCACATAATTAATTTATAAATAAATATAACATAACGATGACATCCGTTATCTTATCTGCCTCTTACAGAACGTTCTTTTTAAAGTAGACGTTTATATTGATCTTACAGCTCTAATGGAATAAGAGTTAGTAATAAAGTCGGTTAGGTATCGATCGTCCATCCGTACCAACAGGTTCCACGGGTACACTCGTCTATACACTACGGTGATGGTTTAATTTTAGCTTATTTGCAGTTTATTTTACTTTAAATTAGAGCATCCTTTCCTGACGATCCACAGTGCCATACGTCAACACTTGACTAATTGCAAGGTCAACATTATTATACACTCAATTTTAATTAAAATGGTTGTCCACTACCACCTCGTTTGACGCAGGAAATAGCTCTACATAACCTCGCATAATGCCTTAACTCTTGCTAACATTATAAAAATGGAATTGTGTGACGGTGGATGTACATATATGTTTATTACTCTATCATGCAGAAACTGCCGAAGGGATTGAGAATTTCATTTTTTTTTAATTGGCACACAGATAGTTTAATAACACATAGGATGCTAGTTATATGCGATGGGCATGGATAAAGTAGCAGATACGCAGGGTACCGAGGTTGACACCCTGACACTCTGATTATAACAAACAGCTCTCAATTCAGATTCTTTTTGATATTCACACCAACATTATTATGACATTGTTTTTAAATCTACACCTACTGTAGGGGGCAAACAAGCAGACGTATCACCTGACAATAAGTGACTACCGCCGTCCATGGAAAACTACTGCAGTCAAGAGACACAAGTTTATTCACGTCCTTTGAGTGCGCAAACCCCCCCAGACATAGGGAGGAGGTGGTGTGGGCCTTCTGTAATCTCTTACTCGATGAAATGTTTTCTGTTAGGCCGCGGTACTACTCCAATCGAGTTGGCCCATAAGTACCGAAGATTGGCTCTCCCATGGTAGGTATATATAAAAATGTATATAGCTCGCTAAACCCAATACGGCTTGATCAATTTAAGATTCTTTTACGAGTTACTAATCAGCGAGCGATAGATAATAATACCAGCCTTATTCAATGTGGCAGGGAGTTAGCTCATACATATGTAGGTAGGAGACGACAGATAAGAACGGTAAAGCTATGATCATCTTAGATAAAAGTCCTTGATTATTTGTTGATGACAACTTAAATTTATTAGTATAGTAGCTTAGAAGACCGGCTGATTAGTAGGTCTAATATTTTTTAAGTAAAAATAAAGTATTAGGCCAGACATCTAACATAATGATAAAGGAACGAACCTCTATATTTGTAGAGCTCTTTAACTCTTCTATTTTTTATATCTATTAATACCAAACCTATTAATTTGTACAAAGTACTTAATTTTCGTCATTGCTTATGAAATGCTTTTCTGATTCATTAATTATTATTCTTCTGCCTTTTTTACTACTGTGCTATGCAACAACAATGTTAGCGAAAGCAGGTAGATAAGATTTTTTCTTTCATACACCAATCACCAGTGTATTCAAAAGAAACCGGCAACCTGGTGAAATACTCTATTGTTGGTGTAAAAACCAGAACTTGTCACAAAATCACGACCCTAGAGTCGAAATCATATCTTTTCTATACTTTCACAAGTCGACTGGACGTGGCCTTATCTCAACCACAAATCTCGCATTGAAATTATTTGAAATGTAACCCTGGTGTATTGTCCTCTCGAGCACATGTCAATTGCCTAAATTGGTTTGAATTAAGAGAGAACACAAAAGCTTAAGGTTGGCCACTCTAATTGAAATAAGGATAAGGATTCAAGACATATCGGCATGTCAGTTTCAAAGAATATCAGTCTGGGAATAGAATTAATTAGGCTTCAGATATAGCTCCCATAAGAGTAATGGTTTTTCTCGAACATCGCTGTAACTGACGTCTTAAACAGATAAGATTTCTGAAGTCTTGGTTTTGCTAACTTTGAGCATCCGTAATGATATCGTTTCACATTTAATCATACTCATAGATAAGGTTTCTATCGCAACGCTCGGTATAAGAGTGTTACAAGCCGAGAAGTAGTGCAACATAGCATATTTTCTTTCACCTTCAAATAACTAATTACACTCATATACTCATAGATGACCTGTATGACATGAAAAAGCATCATTCCTTTTTTTCCTACTTTTAGCATTATCGGAAAACCTTTTTATCATAAAAATCTTATTCGGGCTACTATGAACAAATAATAAAAATTGTTTAAACAGTGGAAGGCTTGAAGGACATCACAAATGGTGGTACTATTTGTGATGTCCATCAAGTCTTGCGATGTTGGAGGTTGGAGGTGACCAACAAAAACTATGGCAACTTACATTTATAGCAGCTATTCTTCAGCGCTATCTAAAAGCCTATTAAACTTATCTTGCCTCATCTAATTATAGTTTTCACTTTAGATTGCTCTCTAATTTTTTATACAATAAGCACTATTGCATACAAAATAAGCTGCCAATCGTAAACAAAAGGCCACCCACATAGTTGTTGGAGGGATATCTCGTCCTGACCCTCTACTGTTTGTGTTAAAATAGAAACCTTTTCTTCGTTATCCCTGAAATCGAAATCCTTGCTGGAAGCTAGTCTGTCTTGCTTAGTGTATAGTACTTTATACCATTAACATAGGTACACTGGATAACCGCCACATAACGGTTTACTGTGTAGATAACATGCTCCTGACTGGTATGACGTTGCCCTGTCCCGTGCACTCAGAGGGTTAACGACATCTAAGCGTCTTCAGGACGACAATTACAAAATAAGAAAATAATTTGTAAATAATATATATATATACAAGAATTGTTCGTTTGAAGGTATTAGATATATATATATCAATTGGTTGATAAAAAGGGTCTAGGAGTTCCGTTTATATTCAATAAATGGCACCCTTTACAATAGGTGCCAATTTTCAAAAGGTACTCTAAGTATAGAAGTAGTGATGGTTTATAAAGAATTAATAGTCCCTATAGCTAATATGTAAAATTAACAAAACACACAGACAAAGCTCCCAAATTACACAAATATTATAGGTACATAAAATAACTTTCATATCACAACTTTCCATACCGGGCAAGTCGATCACAATATCTTGCGCATACCAAACAGCACACAGTCAAATGGCACCTAATTTTCTTTAATTGTCCCAAAGCAAACAATGCAACTTGTATTGACAGTTACATTATTATGCAGGAAGTGTCGTACGGAACCGTGCAAGGCATCGTAAGGCACTCGAGGTCTCGGTCTTTGATCCCAAAAGCAAATACGGAGAAAGTATAATTTCACCCAAATAGCAATGTGCACAATTTGACAAATAAATAGGTACGCGCTCAGATTGCAAATTTTGTTCTGACAGGCTTCCGTTTAACACTCAGAGCAAGTATCGTAGCTAAGTAACTTTGCTACGTCACGAATTTGAACATTACAGTGGACGTACATTATATAATAGATTGTACGACTTTTGAAGACTACAAGAAAGTTTACAGGACAGGAAAGTTCTGTTTGGTTTATACGGGAAGTTTTCCGTAACTCCCAAGTTAAAAAGCCATTCGAATTCGAGCTACTGAAGCCACCCTAACCCAAAGAAGAATCCTAGTAATCCTTTTATGTTACCACCAGACACCATGCTTTGCACAGTGGGCTATCCGTAGCATCTCTGGTGCGACCTACCTATCTACCAGAAAGGTATTTGTGAAAGATGACATGTCCATTGACGCTTGTCCAGCCGGAAAAGCAACGCCGACAGCCGACTGCTAATAGCGAGGTATACCGCCCTAGAATGCCGCAATCTTCATGGCTTGCCCAGTGGAACTTGTGTAGATCTCTACTATTCTGAATATCATAAATTAAAATGAGCTGTGTATATTTTAAGAGAAATCAAGTTAGTATTTATAAGTTTAAGTTCTTTCTTGAGTAAATAGGATGCCAAAAAGAGGCCACGAGAAAATCGTATTTATTTAACTGAAAACAAAAACATATTAATCAACACTTTAATCTTCGATCTAAGCGTGATTTTCAGTGTGTCTTCACAATTATTGGTATTTGCTATATTTATGAACTTAATTTAAGTAATAAATAATTTAGTACAGTTCTAATAATTCTCTATATCATAGCAAAGTAATGTCACGGATTTACCTAAGGTATCTTTCATCGGTATTTTTTTATTCGCCTTATCCCCAGATTGGCAGAATATTAACTGTAGCTTTTAACCTGCAATTAGAAGCAGATCGGACCCAAAGGAGCTTACCTACGATTATATTTAATAGTATATTCCACAAAGCATGAACAAACCTTTATTTAACTTAAATCTACACAGATAACTCTCTAAATAACTTAATAAATTAAATAAATAAATAACTCGTAGACGATATGACTTCATTCAGACTAATTTCAATGGCACCAACTCCGCATCCACTTACCACCGTGATGACCGCCGCACTTTCATTTTGATTCCCTGTGTAAAAATATGGGTTTTATTTAAAAAAAAAAACACAAATTACAGAGAGTCCATAACGCAATGGTAAACTTGCGGTACCAGCGACCAATAGGTTTAAGAAAGTTACTACATAGAATATCTCTTCTAATCCGTGTATATAATAATTCCGTGTATTTCTCAATTTTCATGTCCTGTTTTCGATTTAAAGAAATAACATCTTAAATTTAATGCAATTTGATATGATAAGTACTTTATCAAAAAATAAGCGAGTGTTAAAATGTCAGCAATGATGTGTAACATTAACACGGTAGATACGTAGCTTTAAAGGCATTCTTATAAAAGGCTCAGGATCTATTTTAATACTGTTAGCAAATATCGGCATACTTTTAACTTTGGCACCCGAAGGACCATTTAAATTGCGAATTACGCTTATCTAAGAACACAAAAAGAAAATTACAAAGTCGGGCTTTGTGTATCAAACATATAATTTTTGCTACATGATGAGTCATGCAAATGCATATAATCCGGTCTCTATCGAATCGTCATCATTAATGACCATTCATTGAAAAAAATATATAATTAAAGCTTAATAATTGATAATACATTTTTATGGCTTTATAGTAAGGAAAACTTGATAGTTTGATACTTTTTCGCTTATACGGATAATTTAGGCATCCGTCAATAGTATATCTACAGAAAGAAACCTTTCCTTCAAAGTTCAAACGACCAGGGCCTCAATTCTGCTATTTTATGTTCACGCCAAGCCAGTGTCATACCACTGACACGCTATTGAGATGCCATCGAGTGGCCATTGGCATCGGTATAAATATCGGTAGTTGAAAATATATTACGTTTTGAGGAAATTATTTACTTATTTTTATTATAATAAATTATTAAAAGAAATAAATAAATAAAAATAAATTGTTAAAAAATAAAATTATTAAAAAAGAAATAAATAAATTATTAAAGAATAAAATATAAAAATTATAAAAAAAGAACTAAATAAATTATTAAAATAAAAAAATAAAAATAAAAAATCATTTCCTCAAAAAACGTAATATATTTTCAAATTATAAGGAAATGACTTATTTATTTAACATTAATTTAAATTATTTTTTTTATTTTATTGTTTTAATAAATTATTTATCTTTTTTTATAATTATATTTTTTTTATAAGTTATTTTAATTTATTTATTTCTTTTAATAATTTATTATAATAAAAACAAATAAATGATTTCCTCAAAAAACGTAATATATTTTCAACTACCGATATTTATACCGATACCAATGGCCACTCGATGGCATCTCAATAGCGTGTCAGTGGTATGACACTGGCTTGGCGTAATAGCAGAATTGAGGCCCAGACTGCTCGCCCTCGACAACCCGAGCAATGTTGACAAAATTACTGAGCGAACTAGCAATACAGTCAATTATTTACTCCTCGTATGAAACGTTTATATTTCTTGAAAGCGAGCAGTGTGTCAACATTAATTTATCATGGGTCATTATTCTAAAACATTGTATTAGTTTTATCAAGTACTTAAAAACAAGTTTCAGTTTATTTGTAGAAATTAATAGGTTTTCTAAATACTTTTGTATTGCCAATATACCTACATACTACAGTAATTTTCTCCGAAATTAGCATGCCGATATAGAGAAATTATCAATAGATAAGTAATAAGTAGAATTTAACATCCAGTTATTGGAATGAAACTGCGTTCAGCGGTTTTAAAAGCAATAAAAACACAATAGGTTACCTATAGAATATGTAATTGTATTACAGTTACGGCTAAGTTTGCAGAAAAGCCTAAACTCCGCTTTTAGTAGTCTCCTGCGTTACACTCTTGTCCGGGAGACTTTAGTTTAGGGGCAGAAATCTTTTGTGTCCCACCGACTTACAAAATTTAATAATGGCTAATGTAAAACTATTTTTACTTCTGTCGTCTGTGACTATACATACAGCCAAGTGTTGTGTTAAACGCAGGTCGACAGTAAACATTTTTTACTACTTTATACGTAAATGAACTCAAGTACTACCTATGCATTATATCAAACAAGTTTAATGACATGCAGAAAAATACGAAAATGTGACCTTACCGTCATATCAAACAAACTACCCTAATTACACACTTCGCTCCAATTAACATGGATGCTAATTGAAGTTACATTGTTTGGTCTACAATTTCAGTTAATCAATGTAGTCTTTCTGTTGTAATACATAACTTACCTGAAATATGGTTGAAATTGGTATATGTCATCTATGACCCTGCGTACACGACATGTTGCACCACAACTAGGCTGTTGTTGTCCATAAACCGAGATGGCTCGCTCTAACAGTTGCTGTACCGATGTCAACTCCACCACTGATCGTGAAAAAACACATGATTGAACGACTAACAAAGCACTTAAATAATACTGTATTTAGGCATAATCGTTGGCTATAGTTTACCACTGAGGCATCTGACATATAGCAGATAGTTGGTGCAGAAAGTAAATGTGAGTATGCTTTTTAAAAAGCCGTATAGGTATACGGCTTTTTAAAAAGCATACTCACATTTACTTTTCGCGTTATCATTAGTCAATATGTAGCTATAAGACTAGTCACTTTAGGAATCAATCTCGGACATAAAAACTCAACCATACCACACATCGAATCATTAGGGCGTAGCCATTAGTGAGAATGTGAATCAAAATCGCATTTGTTCCTAATATTTAGTTACCTGTATCACAGTCCGAACCTTGAACATCAGCAATCTAACTACGTAAGGCACGTAGCTATAATAAACATAGGTACACATATACTTGAACAATTTACACTTGGGCGCGTAGCTAACTTCTAGCATTTACAGCCAAAATGTAATTGATTATTAATACTAATACTGACACCATAACTATTAGGTATATTAACTCATACTTACTGGTAAAGTTATTACAGACTTTTTCTTTCGCAGTATATTTTGAAATATGACTCTGATTTAATCACGTCAAAAGTTGCACAAACCACATATAAGTATGTTTTTAAAAGAAATCCGAAATTAAATTCTAAATCAGATATTCAAGAATATACCAAAGATATTTAATGATAAACCCTACCGATATTAGCAGGCCCCTCTTTCCCACTGGGCACTCTGGGCACGTGCCCAGGGCCCCTCGATTGATAGAGGCCCCCTAATTCCTACCTACCTAATTCGATAATCGATATTTATTACTGAAAACCATATTTATTTAAAAAAAACAGCTAAAATTACTGATTATAATACCTTTTTTGGCTATTCTAACAGAATAGTAATCAGTCAAGGTCGAAGGGGCCCCATTATCCCAATGTGCCCAGACCCTCCGATAGGCTAAAGACGGCCCTGGATATTAGTCAACGTTATATCTACTGTGTATTGACTAAAAAAGAGTTGCTCCACGTGTAAGTCACCCAAAAGTTCATGGATCCGTAAATTTTATATAATTAACAAACACCATATGAAAAAAACGATATAAATATAAGTCTAAAACATACCTTTTTTGTTATCAAAACTACGGTCTTCTTCATCGTTTCCAACATTAGAAGGAGCATCTTTCTTAAACGAGACTAATTTCGGTATCACAAGCAACATACAAACCACGGCCAACATAGTCACCAGTTTCTTGAATATTAACAATTTTAACAACAATTTTGCAATCGTCAAAATATCAAGTTTAAATGCAAGTTTATCTAGAAGACCAAAAGCTGGTGCAGTATATGGAACTCCATAGGATGGCTTCAGAGGCGGGCCGTAAATTGGCGGTGGTAATGGTGGTGGCAGCGGCTTGTGAATTGGTGGACCGTAAGATTGCGCCGGCGGGCCGTATGAATGCGCAGGGGGCCCGTAGGTTTGAGCTGGTGGGCCATATGTATGTGCTGGAGGCCCATATGTTTGGGCTGGTGGTCCGTAAGTATTTGGTGGAGCGTCGTAGGTTATTTCTGACTCAAACTTCACAGGTGATCCATAACTTGAGGACGGTGGCAAGTAGCTGTTCGACGCTGAGGGCCCAGAGGAACTGAAACTACTGTCACTTGAAAATGGGGGTGAGTAATCATACCCAGAGTTGTAGCTATCATCGCGATTGGCAATCTTCTTCTCACCATCTTTCGCTGTTATTATGACGACACCTTTTTTGGCCTTTTCAGCTTCTACACGCGATTTGGAGTATGCCTCTAAATACGTATCAGTTTTTTGTACATTAGGCTTCGTTACATTTGAGGTCCCGACTATTGCTGAAACGCACACGCTAAATGCTAATACTATTGCAAAATATTTGAACACCGCCATGTCTCAGTTAATCCTCTATCTACCGCGCGTAAGAAGTTGTCGCCATCGATTGCGGCTAACGAATGACAAGCGACGTTGACTTCCATTCAGTTTTCACTTTTGACTTACCGTAAAAGAACCTAAATATGATAATAGAACACAATTAAATTCTCTGAGTGAGCCAAGTACGTTCCGCATTGTCCATGGCAAGTAGGTGCGCGCGTGTCGCGGCTCGCATGCTAATCGCCGTTGGAGACCGCGCGCGCCCCGGCGGCCTACCTTATAGGATGAGCCTCCCCAAAATCGGGACGTTTCATCGCATAAAGAAATCTTTAGTAGACCGCAATTTGTTTGAGAAAGTTTTATCGCCACATTTATCGTTCATGTACTTTGATATAAAGATAAATATCTGATGAAAATGATTATTTGAGGCTTTATATTTTAGATATTTTTATGGTGTGGGGGACAAACAAGCAGATGGGTCACTTGATGGTGAGTGAGTACCGCAGCCCCAGACACGTAATGCAACTCAAGTGTCACAAAAATTACTAAATTACTTTACTAATTCATCCGAAATTCGCTAACCGATTTATAATAAAAAAATCGAAAATCAAAATGGGCAAAAGGCAGTTGATGTCGTCATGGAGAATGCAGTAGGTACTTTTGTATTCCCGATTATTCATAATTATCACAGTAAAGTTTGTTACTGATCAGTTAAAGTAACCAATGGCTGATTTTCTGAAACGGTAGACTCTCGTTATAAACTATCGTCCAGATATATATAAAAGGACCTCCGGCTCCTTTTCTGTTACAGCTCTTTTACCTTTGCTTCCCGTGGTCCACCCGCCTATTTTACCTAGTTCTAATTTACATACCATCTAGATGACAATCTCTCATGTATACTTACATAAACCAAAGTAATATGGCACATTACAATCAAAATTCGTCGATGATATTACCTCATTGCGTAGGTAGGCGTGAACCTCGAGGCAGATCCTTGTGAATTTTTATTTTATCAAATGCTAAGTACTTACATATTTAAAAAAGGGAATGTTTGCGGCGAGCCACCTTGATCGCCATATAATTCTTCTTTTCATAAAAAATGTATCATTAGTTTATACCGCACATTACGACAAAATGACTTTCGGATAATAAAACAGGCTGCCTACTAGTTTCTATCCCTATTATATGTGCATGACATCATTGACATGTCGTTTGTTGTTAGTGAATACGTACTTAGTATTATTTTTAGAAAGAAATTATGGTGTCACACTTGCACATAAACACTTCGCATTAATGTGGCCAACATTTACATTAAAATTGTTACCTTACTGTTACCGGTTTTTTAAGAAAAGTAGTTGGTTTTATTATAGGAAATCATCTATTTTTTAAATACAAATTAACCGGTCAACATCCCCAAATTCACCATAACAATAGAATACTTTGTAAAAGGTTTAAATATCTAACTTGTTTGGTTAATTAAGACAAAAGATAAAAAAAAATATTTACGTATGAATTCATAAGGCCAGGAATATTATGTTCGAGACCTACCACCTACCATAGACACTACAGAAATATTTATTTACCTTTCACTAACCTGGACACGAAAACAATGAATTTACCGAACCTTTCCGATTTGGCAAATTCCAAACTGGAAACATGACAAAATACAGTGTTGTAAGTACAACATACGACAACAGCATAAATTGTATTTAAATTGTCGTCGATTTCTACTGATCAGTGATGCGCGCTTGTGACATTTTCACTTGCAAAGTTAAAACGAAACTAAGATATCCTTTCGGATTGCATCAATACATAATGTATTATATGTAAAGGTATTCCTTCTCATACATTTTTACATCAACAATGTGAAATGAAATTTTTACATATGAATACGGTACAGTCTAAATGTTGTTATAGCATTGCACATCGTTGTTGACGGGCCGGTTGAGCCTGTTGACCTAGTCGTTAGTGACCCTGACTGCTAAGCCGGAGTTTCATTCCCAGCCAGGACAAAAAATTTAGTGATGATCACGATAATTTAACGATAACGATAATCTGCATTTTATCTATAATATCTATGTATTTAGAAACATTTAAGTGAGTCTGGTTACAATAGTACAGACTCTGTCTGTTATTATTATTTATTGTATTTACGGTTGCATTTTAGGTATATCAAAACATGTCAAACATATCAGTCTTCATACCATGGCAGTCGTGTACATAACAGTATTACATGTACAAAATCCTACGAGAACGACATTATACTCGTAGAATCGATGCATTAGTGTCATGTCAGTGTTATGGGAGTCGAAACAACAAAAACCTGGCAACGTTTCAGGCATTTGAACGACATAGTTACCGTACCCTCTTCCAACCACTGCAGTCTGCCGTTCAGGAAAATACGACATAGTTACGTCCGTGGTTGGCAGACTTTTATATTGCGTAAATAACACATAAATAAGAAAGTAAATTCTAGGAATTTTTGACCGAACCGACGCAAAAAGTTTGACGTGTCTGTCTGTTTGTGGCGTCGCGGGTCCTAAACGAATGGACCGATGATGCAGTTCTTTTTGTTTGAATGTTGACGTGATCGCAATGATTCTTAGCTATAATTTGTGAAGATCATCAGCACATTTCTTCCACATTGCGCATTTCGCAGTAGTAAGATAATCGCCTCAGAATCTGCGTTTTAGGCTATGGACACTAAACAATTTAAATTAGCGTGGTCTAAGTTTCACAACCCGACCTACCATTGTCATTCGATGAGTAAAGAAAATGTTTAAGATTGGTAGCAATAATTTCATGTTTATTTTTTTTAATAGGTGCCTATTTAAAAATAAGTACTTAGACATTTTTTGAAAGTAACTATACTCTATCCTACCGTTCGTACCTATCCAAGTAAGAGCGGTCTTAGTCGGCGTAAAATATACACGGGGGACCGTCTTTTGGAGACATTACTACATATGGGCGCTAGAGAGGCGGAGGGGGGGGGGATGGCGCCGATGAGATGCTTGCCTAGGGCGCTCTTGATACTTAACCCGCTTCTGACTTGGACACCAGCGATTTTTGCCTACAAAGATTTATTTAAAATTACATTAATGGGAATGTGAGGATGCGTTATCGTGGTGAAGGATTGACATTGCTTCGAGGACGCTTTTCGCGAGCTTTTTCTAAGACTGGGCAAGCAAATGTTGACGTACCAATCTGTAGTCAATGTCCTTTGATCTTCAAGCAATACTGTACTGTAATGTCCGGATTTGCCAAAAAAAGAAGCAACTATTTTTTTACCAATGCTTCGACTTTTCTTAACTTTCGCCGGCAAATCTTCAAAAGGTCATGCGGTATCCATCGAGTGCAAAGCTTCCGAACCTTCAGGTGCACATGTAAAATGTTTTGCACTTGGCTCATTCCAATGCCTAACAAAGCACGAATTTGTTGGCAAGTATTTTTTTTTTTGACAATTTTAATAATTTGTCGTACGGTGTTAATATTAGAGTATGTAACCGCAGTCGCCGGCCGACCTTCACATACCTACCTCTTCGCGATGATGAGATGATCACATCTACGTCTAAGTTCTCCAAACCACGAATACACAGAGCTGCGACATGGTGCTTCATCACCAAATCCCAATTGAAGTCTCTGGCAACTCTCTTGTTGACTTAAGCCACAAAGAAAATGTTCACGAGTTAAATTCATTTTGATAGCGACACACAATTTTCGAAAGGATGTCACAATGAAAAACACACAGTCTCCCAAATTAAAAAGTAACATATTCCCAAAGTTGCATTTTCGAACTTCCTTAATTGTTTTTTCATTCTTTTATTGTAAGTGGCCAAATCCAGAGACTTACAGTATGGTCCACGAATACCGCCGCTCATGAAAGCCGGAGCTCAGGAGCTGCATTCCGCTTATCGTAATTTAGTTAGAACTTAAAAAAAGGTGTGCATCGCAACTTAATTTACTTTATGAAAATGCACGATGTTACAAATAGGATGTTTTACATTTTTGTTGATTCATTTATTCAGTTCAAAAGAACTGATTTGTGCCAGAAATGAAGAGGAAGTACATCCCAACCTAGTATTTAATAGCAAAAAGTTATATCGTCAGGAATACGGCGCTTATTTTGCCACATTATTTGTATAAAAGAAATCATGCATTGAGATCTGATATTTTTAATAAAGAGTTTAATGAAAACAAACGTAATTATAAAACGGTATTATTATCACAAATGTAACTAAATGTAAATCATCCAAATGGATTGCTGACAGATAAAAATCTTTCTTCGAAAAATTTGTGTCGTTTTCTAGGCTTTCCCTCATCAGTCTTTGGTGCAAAAAAAGAACTAATCGATTTCGTATTCGCTTTTTTAGTAGCTCCTTCGTCATCGACTTCCTCAAACACGCAAGTTGCAGCCTTCTCCTGAAGCATCAATTCAGCCGTTGACCAGCTAAACCTTACGAGTAAAGGATAGCCAAAAACATTGTCAATTTGATCTCGGATGAATTTCTTTGTCAATGGATCTGAAATAAAAATTACGAAGATTTATTCTGTCACTTTATGAACAACAACAAATAAATTTTACTAAGGTTTTAAAATTTTAAAGTATCACATTAAAGTATAGAAAACAAAGTTTACCTCCAGGATATCCACTCCCAAATTCTGTATGAGTCATTTCCAAGCCCTCCTTGAACTGCCATACTTTTAACGCATGATCCCTTGTGACCTTAGCTACTATACTCGCAGCTGATACTATTGGATATATTGAATCAGCTTTTTTTGCAACCTAGAAATTAAATTTAAGCCAAGTTTTCTTAATTTTTTTTTGTTTTTTAATTCTTTTTGCACAAACAAAGTAAAATGGAGGACTTAATGCCAAAGGCATTTTCTCCCAGTCTACCTTTGGGTGGTGGGGAAATGTCTGAGTAGGAATCTTACAATGCTGAAGAATTTGTAGTGGACTTAAAACAAACATTGATATTGTTGCTAGCATAAAAATTAAAACAGTTATGATGGAAGAATAGTGTGTAAAAAGTAAGCAAAAGTATAGTTTTCTAGTGGAAAAACCAACAGCCAGGCCTAAACTGAGTATCTGCGTGTGGATGTATTTCATAAAATACCCTACATATACACATTGTTATGGTTTTCTTTTAAATAATTGTCTAAATTCCTATGTATTTAACAAGAGTTAACAATATATTACCTTTGCCTAACCATAAGTGCCTAAACCATAAACAGAACTGAAAGTATGATTTCAAACCATTCATCATGCCTACTTTAGTAAAACATTGGTGACAATAAAACAACATCATGAAGAGAATAAGTTAACAAAAATATTTACACTTTTAGTATTAGTTGTAAGTTTTACTGGTAAAGTTATACAGGCTGTTAGAAAAGTATCGACACAGCAGAATAATTCGCTAGGCATGCATTTTTCGGAAATACGTTAGTATATAGAAAAACGTTACGGATCTCGGATTGGTGACCTTTAGAGGTATAAATTTGGTCGTAACCGATTGTATTTTTTTTCCTCTCTTTTCAATTCCGGGCTCAAAAATATGCAATTCCATTTGAAAACTGCTCTTGACCTTTGAGATAACCTACAAGGTTGTGATCAAGGCAATTTCAAGGTCACCAACGGACAGCCAGGGAAAATTAATGTAACTTTTGTTTTTTTTTTTTAATAGAAGGCAGACGGGTCACCTGATGGAAAGCGACTACCGCCGCAGATGAACGCTTGCAACTCAGGAGTCACAATCGCGTTGCCGGCCGTTGAGGAAGGCGTACTCTCTTTTCTTGAAGGTTTGAAGGTCGTATCGATCCGGAAATACCGCAGACGATAACCCGTTCCACAGGTTGGTAGTGCGAGGCAAAAAGTGTCTCGAAAAGCGCACAGTGGTGGAGTACCAATTATTTAAGTGGAAGAATGATAAAATGGAATGAAAATTTTGCAGTGTGGAAAGATGGCGGAAAGTTGCGGCCGGTATTAGTCCGAACAATTCCTCGGAACACTTTCTATGATACGATACGATAGAGAATGCAGAGCGAAGCTACATCTCTACGCAACGATAAGAGGTCGAGCCGGTCGGAGATATTTTGGCTATCGACGAGTCGCTCTTCTTTGGATACGGTCCAGAGGGAGAAGCTGATACTGAGGTGCCCCTGCATAGAGATGAGAACAGTATTCCATATGCGGCCGAACTTGAGACTTATAGAGTTGGAGGCGATGAGCTGGAGTGAAATACTGCCTCGATCTATTCAGCACACCAGGCCAGATCTATTCAGGCCAATTTGACCTTACCCTCTAAATAACCGCAAAACTGAACTTCGCTCTAGATGTGGATGCCTAGGTTACACTGGCTACCTGGAGGCGAGGGCCCTTGCGGCTCTGTATCAGTGGCGCAAGGAGTTGCGGGAGTTGGGTCGGTGTCCTGAGTCTCGAGAAATCGAGGATCAGAAATCCCAACTCCGCCAGATCCTAGTGGAGGAGTGGAAGGAACGACTTGGGCAACCGAGCGCTGGGCACGCCGTTATCGCGGCGGTAAGACCCGTTATGGAGGATTGGTTTGAGAGGCATCACGGGACCCTCTCATACCAGTTGACGCAGGTGATCACCGGGAAAGGATGCTTCGGAGATCACCTGTGTCTGATCCGCAAGGAGCCAACGCCTGAGTGCCAGCACTGCGATGGCCGAACCATGGACACAGCGCTCCATATGCTGGCAGAATACCCGGCGTGGGTGGAACAGAGGCGTTGTCTCGTGGTGGGCATCGGGGTGGGAGTTCTCTCGCTCGGTAACATGATTGCCGCCACGGTACGGAGCGAGAGTTCGTAGAACTCCGTCGTCTCCTTCTGCGAGCAAGTTATGCTTGTTAAGGAGATGGCGGAGCGAGACCGGGAGAGGTTTAGAACTCTCCCGGAGCGCCAGGCCCGGCAACGGGCCAGGTACCGCAGACGACTCAGGCGCCGGAGGTCGCAGAATGACCTCCGTCCTCCATAAGCGCAGGCCTGGGGGTGGTAGGTGAGGCCATCTGTCACCCTAGCAGAAGCAGGCCGGGTGGTGGCGAGACGCACTTCGAAGCGCGCGCCCTCCCTTTCGGGAGCACAAAGGGGACATAAGGGTTCCCACACAGGAGGGGGTCATTTACGCAAGTAGATGGCCCGAGGTACGTCGGGGTATCAGAGTTTTCCTTCCTAGGGTACACCTGGTTCCCCGGCAACTGGTATCCGAGACGGCGTGCAGTTTTTGGTCGGTTCGAGTCCGACATAACCACCGGTGAGGGGTATCCGAAGGGATTCCCGCACAGAAAAAAAAAAAAGAAAAGGATACACTGGCTGAGGCAGTTAAGGAGGTGCTCTCGAACCGAGGTGATACGACAAACGGTATCTTTTTTGCGGTGAACACTGTGCCTTTTTTTGGTTAAAATGGACTAGATTCAGTCGACCCCAATCTGAAACCTTCGTTAAGGAAGTTTCAAGGAAGCACAGGCGATCGAGACCAAGGGTGGCTTGTAAGGTAGGCTAGTACGCCGAACTAGGCTAGCGAACCGAATTTCCGGCATACAGCTCAGGCACCGCGGTATGGTCGGCGGTACATTTCCTCCGTCATCCGAAGTCGAGTTGGATGCAAAGAGTTCACCTAGGAGATCAGCTTTCTCCTTGGCATCATAGGCCAGCAAATCATCATCCATCTACAGGGGTGAAAGGGATTGGTTAAAAAAAATCCCCTGGACAGCCTTGGCAACCAGAATGGTCGAGTTTCAGAAGGAAATCTCACCAGTCTCTCACCAATCCGGCTGATGTGCTCCGATTTCGCCCTGGCAATGGTCCTTTTGAGGGATCTGGAGGCAGTTGTAATGCTTTTATAGAAGTAAGAAAGAGCGCATCCCATCCCACATACGTGCCACCGTACTCCGTATTAGTGCAATGATCCGAGGAGCCAAGTGGGGCTTCAACGATGACTTTACAGCCTTTTCAAGGATTAGAGGTCGCAGTTTGTTTCCTTAGTCGCCTCGTCGTCAGGCCCGTCTCTGGTCTATTGGAAGCCCTGGGCACATGAAGATAATGGGGCCCCTACTACCTTGACTAAGTCTAACGTACAATGTCTAAGTATTATTGGTTAGACATTTTTTATTTTATTAGTTCGATAAAGAAAGTATTGTAGTCAGGCATGCCTTTTAAGTTCTGTCGTTTCCATATTTCCCGGCAATTTTGAATTTGGAACTGTTCTATATTCGAATGTGTTTAAATTTTGAATCTCAAAACAGTTGAAAGTATTAGGATTGATGCTATTGTTTAGTCACAGCGTCGATTGGCATCTGTCAGGTTACGTACGAAATTGAATCTTTCTCAAATAAAATGTGTGTGCAATAATTTTCTACAACTTTAGAAAAGGCCTGACACGGCTCCGGTGTTTTGAAGAGCTAACATCTGTGATCAGTGATGAAGCCCCATGTCTGCGGACTGTCGAACGCTGGCATTTAGAATTCCAGCGTGGAAATACTAGTGTTAGTGACAAATCTCGCGAAGGACGCCCAAAATCCGCCTTCACTGAAAATATAACATCATTGCTGTGAGACAACTAATTCTCGAAGATCGTCATGTGACGTTGTGACGTGACGCAACCTGGTCGAAACGTCAGGCAAACCAGAGGTATGTAATACCCTAAATAAGAGATCGCGTTAATTCCCGTTAAATATTATTAATCGTCATGTGACGTATCGAGAGATAGAGGCTCTATTAGGCATCTCAGGGACAAACACTTAGTAGCGCTTGGTGTGAGTATGCTAGTTTGCCGTTGGATACCGCATCTGCTTTCCGACGATCACAAGGCGGCCCGCGTCAGATGGTGTAAGAAAACTCTGCAAAGGTTCCACCAAGGAGAGTCAAATCACGTCTACAACATCATCAGTGCTGACGAATCTTGGATCTATGCCTACGATCCTGATTCCAAACACCAATCTACAATGTGGGTCTTTGAAGACGAGCCAAAGCCGACTAAAGATGTTCGTTCTCGAAGCACTTCAAAGAAGATGGTGGCCACGTTCGTTGGAAAAACCGGCCATGTTGCGACTATTGCACTTGAAGATCGTAGAACAGTTAACGCAGAGTGGTATATCATCGCCGAACTTCAAAAATCTAACTCAAAGCGACGCATCATCCTGCACCACGACAACGCAAGCTCACACAGCGCTCGTCAAACGACCTCGAGTATTGAAGCAGGAAAAAGTAGAAATTCTTGACCATCCTTCATACAGTCCTGACCTAAGCCCTAACGATTTCTTTACATTTCCTGAAATTAAGAAAAGTCTTCATGGTCAAAGGTTCCAGTCCGGTGAAGAAGCAGTCGACGCTTTCAAGTCAGCCATTTTGAACACCCCCACTTTAGAGTGGAATAACTGTTTTGAACGAATGGAAAAGTGTATCAAGCTACGTGGTGAATACTTTGAAAAACAATAAAAAGTACTATAAGGTTCTAGTTGTTTTTTTTTCTTCAAACGACAAAACTTAAAAGGCTTGCCTCGTATCGCTGGAGTTTTCGAAATAAATATGTTTTTCGGTAATAAATATCGATTATTGATTAGTGATTTGGCAGGTCTCAGGCATGTGCCCAGAGTGCCCAGTAGGAAAGAAGGGCCTGCTCGTCGTGTTTAACTTATTTCCTAAAAATGAATCCCTAGCGAATTATTCTGCTGTTCTGGTACTTTTCTAACACCCGGTTTATATGTACATCAGAGTACATTTCCTTTTGAATATCTTATTTTATTCCTATTTCACTGACCAACTTGACTTTTGTACCATAACAAGATCAAAATATATACTGGACCCTTATATATTTATATATATAGCTGTTTATACATGTCCACTTTATAGCACATATAATTTAAAAAAGTAGCCTTATGCACTTCTTTTACATATACACATTAATTTTTACACACATAACATACTTTTATGTGCCATACATACATTATTTTATTCTAACAATTGTAATTTGTACTTGTTAAATAGAGCAGTGTGAGATACCAACAGTTATTTTGTAGTTAGGAAATATCTCTGACAACTTTGCCTGGTACTTTTCAGGCGGGCCTACTGTATCCACATACACTTCAGTAATGTTTACTCCATCTTCAGCTGCTTTCTTAATCAATCCTATTGCTGAATTCATTGATACCTGAAAACCAACAACAATTTTACCCCAAGGATAATGATAGCCCCCATATAAATCATATATAATGGCAAAATAAAATAGAAGGCTGTTTTTACCTACAGTAATAAGAGAAAAATGTGGTATTACATATCAATTTCTCGTACATATATGAATACTTTCAATAATAATCTTTATTTAAAACAAATGAACAATATACAGTTTGAGGAGATTCAATAAGTCACATTAGTTGAAAACACTGTTGTGACTATTAAGATCCACCTCCTGGAAGGATATAAAAGGAAGTCTGACTCCAAGACAGAATTAAAGTAAAGATAATATAGTAGTGAATAGTATGAACCTCATTCAGGGAATGTTTTGCTCTTCTGTACATTGAATTTGATATATAATTAGGAGAGATAACTTCAGCCACCCATCCAACAGTATTCAAAGACTCCTCGTTTGATAACATTTTACAGAAAATGTCATCTCTTTTCTCTTCAGTTAATGATTTTGAATCTGCACATCCCAGGTCATTCAGTATTTTAGTTTCACTCACTGGACAGTAAGCAATTCCATAGACCATTGGACCTGAAAAGTATTTGATAAATAATGTTCTCACATAATTAAGGAATTGTTATCAATTTGTTTGATCAATTTGAACCAAACTGAATAACTATTAGGCTATTGCACACCAGGGGTGCCCTCATTAAACAAACTTATATGTAGGTATAAAAATGGGTCTAAAAAAAATTTTTACTTGTGTCTAAACAACAAAGAAACAACTCCTCCTTGCTTTTGCTGTGAGACCTTTCTTCTTGCCAAACTTTATGATTCTACTATGAACTTTATGATAAGCCTAACTTTTGAAAATATTTTAATATGGTAAAATCAAGTTATTACTTGATTTTTGAGTTAGGCTTATCTTTTGACTGCATTGACTCAGAACATCTTAGGTAGAAGCAACTTCTAAGCTTGTTTTGTTTCTTTTTTTTATTTTAGATGTGATACCCACCATGCTTTTCTAAGAAAAACATTATTTACTAACCATCAGATAAATTGACAACAAACTGATCTTATTAGACTGACAGGATAAAAGGGAACCCAATAAATTCATGGTAGACTCTAGGTGGGTACTCTAATTCAGCTGGTATGTCTAGTACTACTCTTAAATACCTTAAATCACAAGCGAGTTAGAGAGTTACAGTTCAGAATAAAGGAGATTGTAAAGTTTGCTATTATCGTAAACTTTTTTATTTATAACCATTACCAATTTCGTTGTTAATGTAACTAAACAGCACAAAACGCGACATCAGTATTCAGACCGCCAGCCAACATAGCAGTATAGCAGTGTAATGAATGAATGTAAGCATCACTGGAGTATAACAAAATTTTTATGGACTTTGAATAACGTCTATAATAATTATTTTAATACAAGGGAATTAATGGGATTACATCAATTTCCGTGTATGAAGATCACTACATATCATGGAATAAAAAAGTTTACACGTGAATAGTTAGTACCTATGCAAAAGTTTACACCATAAAAAGTTGCTAACTATTTAAATTAATGTTATAAATACAGAAATGTACCTAAAACGGGTCCTCGTCCGGCTTCATCTACACCCAAGATACATGATTCAGTTTTACAAATATCAGGAACCTTCGAACTGTTTAAAAAGTTTTTGAAGTTGTCTTGGAATCTGATAAAATCTTGTAATTCTGATAAAGATGTCATAATTTTTATTTTAAATAACTTAGTTTAGGAAAATATAGATTTAAAAATATCTTAACAACAAACATGACACAAAACACTAACACTTAACAGACATTCATAAAAACAATGTTGCCAGGCGTGAAGATGTAAACTACACAAAAAATATGTAAGTCACGAGTAAAGTACCTTGTTACTTCAACAATCTGTTAAATATTTTAAAGTTAGAAAATTTTTTTTTTTTACCTTTTATAATTGTTTTTACCACATTTTTACTTAAGAAAGAAATAGCCTGCGCTAATTAATCCCAAGCAACAATCTCTGTTTTGTCAAATAGTAAGCAAATAAATTTAACAAAAATCAAACCCATACAAAATCATTGATATGCCTGGCCGATCTGTAGATCCAAGGGATTTGTAGACCGCCCGTTTCCAAGGGGTTGAGCCTTATGAGAAGAAAGGGCAAACAAACTTATGGCCACTCTTTTGCAATTACACAGATAGATACAATGGCACTATTAAATATAATACAACATTGTTTTGATGTGTGCCAATATGTCTGTTATGAAGGACTAAAAGGTAAAAAGACAATGAAGAGAAAACTAGATTAAGAAAAAAAAACGAATAAAAGAGAAAATGAAGTGAAACATAAAAAAATAATAATAATAATAAACACACTAGCCACATCACATTTTTACTTAAGAAAGAAATAGCCTGCGCTAATAAGCATTCTTGTCTTCCATGTAATCCACAATTGAGTAGTAGGCCCTCTGGCACAAGCCACGTTTTATTGCGGATTTAAATTTGTTAATACTTAACTCTTAAATATTATTTGGGATTTTGTTATAAAATCGGACACATTGACCTCGAAAAGACTTGTTTATCTTTTGGAGCCTAAAGGCAGGTACTACAAGTTTATTTTTATTTCTGGTATTTATAGCATGTACATCACTTTTTTTCAAAAGCTATCTTTGTTTTTATGAACATATATTACATTTTCATAAATACTTTGACTTGCCACTGTCATTATATTTATTTCTTTAAATTTCTGCATCAATGAACAACGATTGCCTAAATTATAAAGTGCTCGAATCGCTCTCTTTTGCAGCACAAAAATAGTTTGCATGTCGCCGCATTCCCCCACAGCAGTATACCGTACGACAATATGCTATGAAAATAACTGAAGTAAACAAGTCGTGCTGTATCAACATCAGTCAACTCTAGAATTTTCCTTGCTGCGTATGCTGCTGAGCTGAGTGTACTCGACAATTTATCAATTGTGGGCCCCACTGTAGCTTAGAATCTAGTGTTATACCTAAAAATGTCGTAGTGTCCACAAGGTTCAGCCCGACATCCTTAATTATAACAGTAGTTTTCACTGGCTTGACGTTTGGAATAGTGAAACGTATACACTTAGTTTTTGGTTCATTTAATAGTAAATTGTTGACGTCAAACTAATGAACCACTTTCGAAATGGCGCTGTTTATGAATGTAAAATCTGGAAGTGTCCATACTACAAACACTCCCAAAAATTAACTTACACTAAGTCCCTCGTGTGATATATCCAACGAAAAGGACACGTATGAGGTTTCTGGTATGAATACCCACAAATATCTGTAAAGAAATGATATTTAGTACAATTTAGAAAAAAAACATATTATTGAAATACTTAATCGACTATCATTATCATCTTCCGAAACTACGTTGGAGTGCTTTTAAGTCTACTACGACGCAGAACTTCGATATTTTACGAGGAGCGACTGCCATCAGACCTCCACAACCCAATTACCAGGCGATACCGAAGTTCTGTAGATCGTAGAAGTTCTGTTTTTGGAGTTTTTTTAGGGCTACAACTACCCGTAACAATTACCACAAATCTCAATGTGTTAAAAGGGGTCACCCATCCATAGATTGACGTGGCTAGGATTACATAACTTTGCAATGTGCTCATCTACTCGGTTACCACTTAGCCACGAGACCTCAAGTACTTAACTGACCAATATGAAGTTTTGCAGATATGTTGGGGTATTATGGGTATCTAAAAGGTGTAGTGTAGCTGATCAACGGGCACGCCCTCATCGCGACGGTAAGACCCGTTGTGGAGGATTGGCTCGAGAGGCGTCACGGGACCCTCTCATACCGACTGACGCAGGGAAAGGATGTTTCGGGGATCACCTGTGTCTGATCCGCAAGGAGCCAACGCCTGAGTGCCACCACTGCGATGGCCAGACCGTGGATACGGCTCTCCACACGCTGGCAGAGTGCCCGGCGTGAAATGAGTAGAGGCGAGACCTCGTGGCGGCCATTGGAGTGGGAGTTCTCTCGCTCGATAGCCTGATTGCGGCTATCGTGCGGACCGAGAGTACGTGGAACTCTGTCGTCTCCTTCTGCGAGCAAGTTATGCTCGCGAAGGAGACGGCGGAGCGGGACCGGGAGAGGTTTAGAACTTTCCCGGCCCGCCAGACCCGGGAACGGGCCAGGTATTGCAGGCGACTCAGGCGCCGGAGGTCGCAGAACGACCTCCGTCCTCCATAAGCGCAGCCCTGGGGGTGACAGGTGAGGCCATCTGTCACCCTAGCAGAAGCAGGCCGGGGTGGCGGCGAGCGCATTGCGAAGCGCGCTCGCTTCCAGGGAGCAGAGGGAACATGAGGTACCCGCACGGGGGGTCGTCTACTCGTCTGTAGATGGCCCGAGGTATGTCGGGGCACCAGGGACTTCCTTTCTAGGGTATACCTGGTTCCCCGGCTATTAATACCCGAGACGGGGTGCGGTTTTAGTCGGTTCGTGTCCGACATGCCACCGATAGGTGGTATCCGAGGGGATTTCCGCACGGAAAATAAAAGTGTAGCTGATCAAAGGATCTATGTATTTGTTTTTGTTTTATGTATTTGTATCTATTCGTTTTTGAGTAGATACCATCATACCAAAAGAAAACACCATTTAGATCAAAAGTTCTAATGGGACCTCTGTCGAGAAAAAAGTGGATGAAACTGTGTAAAAGCGACGTATCTAGCAACACTGATGGACAATTGTCACATCTCAAAGTTAAAAAAAAGGCGCGAATTAGAACAAATAATGAAGATCACAGCTGCATAATTTGTTCTAATTCGCGCCTTTTTTTAACTTTTTGATGTTGTCTGATGAAATGACAGACTATACTACAAAGATTAATCAAATGTTGAAGTTTTAAAAAATCAATGTAGAAGTCAGTCAGAAAGTCAGACTACTCTTATTGGTTTTATAATTTTCGACAAATGGCTTTATTAATACAATAAAATTCTAATTAATAAGAATTGTTACAATTTGTCTTCTATTAAATATGTTTAAAGTGATATTTTTATGACAGATAACAACTAGACATTAATTGAAATTCCTATGTCAAAGCACAAACCAGAAATTTTGCTAACTTTCTCAGTAAGGTGTACCACTAAAATGCATTCTTGTGGGAACTGTTAGAGTTAGGGTGACAAGTAGTTACCATATATAGATGGCATGGCATGACATGCATGATGGCATGGATGGCAGATGTAACATAGAAATTATTTTGTAGAAACAGTAATAAAATAAAAATTACCTTTTCTCTGAAGTGACAAGACCTGTTATTTAATATTGACATAAGTTAAATAGCAGAAAAAGAAGAGGTACTTTAAAGTGTCTAAAGAAAATTTTGATGTGGAATAGTACCTAGGTTTGTCCAATAGAGGGTAGTACGAATTACATTCATTTATAAATCTGCCATAACATCTTTTAAACCGTGGTGACCATAGATTCTATCATTTGTTTGCCTATAGAGAATACAAACTTCGTTCAAAAGTAGTGCATCTGTGCGTAGCATAATATTTTTAGATGTAGAAATCAAAGGTGTCATCTGAATAATTAACACAAAATATTGGTGATCGTGTACATTTAAGGTAAAGTTTAAATCATGTATATATGTTTTTATGGGGAGTAGTTTGTAAGTGAATAATTTTAGTAATTTACCAAAACTCGTTTGTAGGTTAGAGTAGTGCGATCTAATATGCAGAACAACCCCCAGGAGCTTTCATGGCAGGCGATTCAGGCTATAGTTGGGGTTAAACTTCCTTCAAATGTACTGCGATTTGATGATATCGGATTTCACTTAGTCAATAACAATGTCTCGAGCGCCGAAGACTCTGATTCTGACGTAGAAATCGTCGAAAATGATTGGGAGTCTGATAATAATGTGTCATCCAGACCTGACCATTCTGACAACGAAAAAACTACGTCGCCTGATAGGGAACAAAGTGAATCACCGGTTTTACATCTTGTAGAACCAGATAATAATAATTTAGGGAAAGATTCTTTAGATTATCAAGAATATGTTGAAAAATTGGACACAAAAGACATATCTTCTAAAGAACGAATGGCACAAAATCAGATCGACGATCCAGATAGCTCGAATGGGAATGTTATGTCTATAGAAAACTATTTGGAGGTCACTTTATCCACTGACTCTGAGGCTAGTCATACTTGTAACCAATGTAACCAAATATTTTCTAATGAGAATTTGCTTGCCTCACACAAATGTACTGCTAAACCCACCGAAGAAAAGAAATACCCATGTCATGTCTGTACTGAAAAGTTTTCAAGCTACTGGGATCTACGAAAGCATCTCAGTAGTCATTTTCCTGGTATGCTGGAATCCAAGTCAAGCTTTTGTCATCTCTGCCAAAAAGATTATACAAAAACAGGATTTATGAATCATTTACGTAAACATACAGGCGAGAGACCATTTGTCTGTGAACTTTGTCACAAAGCTTTCTCTCAATCAAGCTCACTTTCGATACACATGAAGTTTCATCTCAATGTTCGCAAACACGCTTGTACAGTCTGTGAAAAGAAGTTTGTGACAAAAAGTGAACTATCTCGTCATATGACGGTTCATACGAAGCAAAAATCCTATTACTGTGGAGTATGTGACAAAGCTTTCACTCGTTCTGATAATATGAAAAAGCATGAAAAAACACATGGGTAGCTGTTAAGATCAGCACTTAATGTAAAGAAATGAGAACAATGTCATAATATAGCAAGCATGAAGTTGCATTTCAATATCTTAATTATCAAACTTGTTGAAGTTTTGCCACCAAGTGTTGTATTTTCAGCAAGCTATGATTTCTGATTCTCTTATTGCCAAAAAAATAGTTGTATGTTTGTTAAGAATAACTTTTACATTGTTTATAATTTAAAAGCTATCAATCTAGTTCATATTTTAGTCATATTTTGGTGTGTTTCTGTGTTTAAGTGAGTGTTGTCACACTCTTGTGTGCTGCTGTATTTGCTTTCAAGGATATTATTTATATGATTTTCAACTGCATGTTTGGGATAATAGTATATTAGTGAATTTGTCTTAGCAGGTGCTTTACAATAAGGTCATACATATCTCAACCAATGTTGCCTTTTATACATGATAGTGATATTTTAATATGTGGATATTTACATAGGTTGAATGTCCAAAGGTTCAGATAGCCTTATTGTAATGTTTACTTTAGATAAAGAAAGATGTCTACTATTCAATATAAGACCTTTCTAATACTAATGATATCACAAATATATATTTTTGTAAACCTATACTGTGAGGTATTAAACTACCAGTAAGAACTTTTGCCAAATTTTAGATAAGTATTTCTAGTGATTTTACTACTGTACTGTGTTGTAACCAAAGCAATAACATTTTAATGTGCCTATTCTTTATAATATTATATTATTATGAGTATACCAAATAATTTAATTGTTAGTGTTAATAGTAATAGTAAATTAAAACTAGAAGTGACAAGAGCTACTTCTCTTTCAAATGTGGATGCTTTATAAAATTTCACAATATTTCCTTCTTGATGGTCTCCTAATTTTTTATAAGTTAGACACTGAACAATATATTGATAAGTTTAATGTTTTATTTGAACATCACAAATGTTTAACAGTGCAAATATTCATTTGTATCTGATAAGGTTCATTAGTTATGTAGTGTAACTATCTCCTATGCAAGGGTTCTTCCCTTAAGACTTTTAAAGCCAAAATAAGAAACGAAAATCCCAAAGATAATGTATTGTAATATTTTGTAATTGGCTGTATAACCAAAGTTCTATAAAATATAATCTATTGTGCCACTTTGATTTCAGAATCTGGTTGTAATATATGCCTTAGAAAGTTGTCTACATTTATGTAATATAAAATAGACAATCATATTTTAATATATTTATAATACCTATTTAATTTTTTAGATATTTAACTTTGCATGACTTGTTTGTAGATTTAAGGAAAGATATTGAGCCAAATGTAATAAAACGCAAAATCTACAAGACTGACGATGATAATATTCAGAGTAGGTATTAACTCGTGCACAAAAACAATTATTTATTCATACTGTTTATTACAATTTTGTATTTATCGAAAAAAATGCACCTTGTTAAAACTCATCATGACAATTAGACTAAAGTTTTTTGATTATAAAGTAAAAATATTTTATGGAAATATGTATTGATAAAAATGCGATTTTATTAAAGAGTTGTTTGTTGCATTTTATGTTTTATTTTATGTAAATAAGTATTTTCCCTTTGTTCTAGGTCGCACTAGCGATGTCTGCAAGGTTGCATAATCTTAATCCCTATGAGTTGCATAAATATTTAGTAAATGTTTATCGTCTGAATACAAAAGGTTCTACTGGACACCTGAAACGGGATACGTCCAAAGATAGAACTGACCTCGATGTTATACGTGAAAACTACAAATTTTTGTGGGAAGAAGATGAAGTTGCCGATACTTGGGAAAAACAACTAGCTAAAAAATATTATGACAAACTCTTCAAAGAATATTGTATTTGCGACCTAAGCAGGTATAAAGAGAACAAAGTAAGTTGGAAACCATTGCAGCCATCTCTAATTGTTACCTAACACAACAGGCCAAGCAACATTTTATTAGGCGCATTGAAATTATAAATACGCATTGGACCTCTTGCTAATAATAAGTAGCTAGCAAAAGTTTAAACGTAACAAAGTGTGTGAACGGTTATATTTATAAAGGTCACATTATAAATCATGCGTTAAGGTTCTCCCCTAGTTGTAACCAGCCTGAGATTGGGGCGATTCCCTTCTGTAACTCAATTGCCTTTTTTTACCCGCGAGACCTTCCTTTGTGTGTTATACTGGGGAGTGCAACAAAGGCCGTGCTCGGTGCTGCCTTTCTGTAGGCTAAATATAGCACTATACATTCACCCGCATCGATACACAGTAATGTAACGCACATCTGGCCATTAGTGGCGCAGCCGCCGCCCGGCCGATCCCCGTTTGTCCCACAAAATCAATGACGAAAAGGCACGCTTATCTCACGGTTCTATCATCACTGAACTTTTTATTTATACCATGCAAGAGTTATTACCTATTTGTAGAGTTTAAGTTTAAACTTATGTATATTTAAATTATTTTTATTGAAATGAAATTGTAACGTAACTATAGGTATTATCTTAATGTCATTTTGGCAAGATATACAAAGGAGAGACTGAACTTTAATCGGAGCGCAATCATGTCATCCCTACCTCCCTACCTAGTACTATGATTAGTTTCTATGGTCATGCTAGCGTTTAGGTAATCCTCATTCGGAGGAGAGTAAAATGAAAACACTCAAAACAGTTCCAACGACAAGAAAACCATCTTGACTTTAGTAAACATTTACTTCTATAACACTAGGTTGCATTACGTTGGCGGATTGAAAAAGAGGTTGTGCTCGGAAAAGGTCAATTTCAATGCGGTAACAAAGTGTGCAACAGTGCTCAAGATCTCAAGTCCTGGGAGGTCAACTTCGCTTATATCGAAGATAGTGAAAAAAAGAATGCTCTTGTGAAATTGCGTGAGTTAAGAACTCTCGAAGTAAATTTTAAGATTACGATAGCGGTAACATTTCGGATATATAATATATTTACCACATTTGCCTATTACAATAATATGGTTAGTCCCACGTAATTGCTGTACCATTGCACTTAAAGGTATAGCCATATCTACGGCATATTTGCATACCCAAAAAATTGATTATTGTGTGAAAGGTTTCAGCCTATCTTATGTAATTTAATTTAGTAAAATTTGATCAACGGCTTATTCCCCCCTTTTTTTTCCGTGCGGAAATCTTCTCGGATACCACCTATCGGTGGCATGTCGGACTCGAACCGACTAAACGCACGCCGTCTCTGGTACTAATAGCCGGGGAACCAGGTATACCCTAGAAAGGAAGTCCTTGGTGCCCCGACAAACGGCTCATTCCCCCTGGATCCTAGATTCCGTAAGCCTTTGTCCATACTCAAAACACAATCTATTTAGCGGCAATAACATGATTGAATAACAAAAAAAAAGTTAGCCAATTAAACATTATTTTTAGGCATAGATTACTCCCTAGGTTAGGCGTTAGGTTTAATACAAAACTTTAAAAGAATTACACAAAATGATCAACATGTTCTCAAGTTATGCTCTTCTCAACATTCCTTTCATCTTTTGTTTTGTCTTCAATTCTAAATTAAAGTTACCTACAGAACCTAGGTCTTAGTCGAAAATCTGGAGCTAATGAAGTTATGAACCAAGCCTTATTTTGTTTCCATCTGTAACTTCAAACTCATTTTAATCCGGACGTGTGGTAATTACGCCAATTGGGCCTCACACGCGATGTCATGTAGGGTTCTACCTTACGCAGGTTGTTACTGTAATATTTGTTAACTTTATTTTTAAGAACAAGGTTAATGAGATCTAGAATATATTATCAGGTCTATGCCCAGAGTGTTCGGAGAAATTGAACTACAGATCAAAGAAACGTGAAATTAAAAGGTTAAAGAAGGGTGACAAGAAAAAGAAACGAGCGAATAAACAAGACAAGAACGGTGAAGATCCGGAAAGCGAAAACGTTGGCAGTCCCGCAGCACTTGAAATTCTAGAAGAGCCTTCTACTTCTACTGTCAATGTTACTGAAAGTAATGACGAGTCTTTATGGAAAAAAGGTATGACAAAGGTTAACTTTCACATTCATATTTGGTTTGTTATAAAGACGCACATTTCATGTTAATAAAATGAATACAATACGTGAAAGACAAATATCACTTCTGGTAAGTCAATCATATAATAACTAAAAAGCTTGTTGCAATTTAGTGCTTGGTATTAGCCCTCTTCCAATTAACACCATGTTGGAATCTAATCCCCATCTTCATGTTTGTTTAAAAAAATATGTAAAAAGTTAGACGAGACGTTGGACTTACGACGACGACACGTTAGAGTCATGTTAGACGTTAGTCTAATTGGACTATAGATTATATACTCGTATCAGTTTGTTTAGTCAATAGCTCACATATACCGAGTTATTTAGCAGTATTATATCATCCATAGGTCATAAAGAAATTAATTCCCTTTCAATCGTAGTTTGGATATTTTTTTATAGTTTCAAATTACGTGAAATTAGACAATCGCTAATGATCAGTTCTCCACGACAGTGCAATATATTTTTTTTTTATCTAAAACCTATTAGGTAGGTACTGATCTAACTATAGATATAATCATATTCTGTTCTATTTTCGCTCAGGTGTGCCAGATATACAAGAAAAATCACGAGAGGAGGAATTTGAAGAATACTTGGAAGACCTATTACTTTAATGATTAATAATAAAAATCAGCGCTATTTAGTAAATAGGTTTATTGTATTTAATTATCTTCTTGATACACCTTGTTTATGCGGTCAAAACAAGAAAATCGAGGCTTGATTACTTACTTATTTGGTTTGGATTTTGTACCATTAACTAATGTCCGGGATATATTTGCAGATTACATTTTAAAAGGGGCTTTATTATTGGATTAGGTCAAAATGTTTATTATAAAAGTGGGCCCTATATAAAACAAATTCAAATTTATAATTGCATTTTTAATATCTAGTCTTAAAAAGATGGATATAAATCTGTATATTATTTAAACACAACATAATTTAATTTCATTAATCGTCATCTTTAACACACTTTAGTAGTCCATTGGCTGGATATAGACCTCTCCCTAGAAAGGAGGTTTTAGCCATAATAAGTACGCTGACCAGACGGTTTTGACGCGTTGGTGGGTTCTTCTCTTTGCAATGGTCGTAGTTTGGTCCCTTACTCGGCTCTTACGCCACCCACGGGATGAATAGGGGTGATGACACTCCGTATTCTTAACCTTCACCACGCGGCCGCACTTTTCACGTAGTAATTTAATCGTCTAGACGTCGTTTACTGCTTCCACTTGTACCTACTAACTAATATAAGTGACACTTGGCAATAAAACCTTTAGCTTTTCATTCGCAAAAGTTCTTTGATTCTTTAAAAACAAGAAATCTGTATCTCGATACTACACTACACACTAAACTACACTACTCGATTATACATCGCATCTGTGTGATACAAAATAGGTATCTGTGTATCCGTGGCAGGTTGCAGTTGTTTTCGGAGAGTGGCATACGACCATAGAAAGTAATTGCAGGTGTTCAGAAGACAGACAGTTCAGGAGACAGAGACGGTGCGGGTCATCAATGTTATAGTCGTTTCGTGAATATTAAAAGCCTAACGCAATGAACGCAACGAATGGAAGCCGCCTCAACGTCATTCACAGCGGTGAACAGAGATCGATGTCGTCAAAGTCGGTGAAGGAAACTTGTTAGTTGTGCTTACATCAAATATACCAGATATACTACCCAACGAAAAAAGTGGCGATCGATAGTTCCAGGTAGCGTAGTAGTAGCATGCATGGATTTAAAACGATGTAAAATCCATAGAAACGAAAATTTAATGCATTTTGATTTGTCTTTGCATTTCTATGAATCCGTTGCCATGGCAACATCCAATTTTATTGCATACAGCATAGCACATAGTTTTAAAGTTAAGGCTTTAAAACCGTTTCATCAACAGACAGAAAATGTCTTTGGGGTGCACCCCGCAATGCTTGTTTGGAACCATATAATCCAAAGCCTTTGAGTGAACACACCTGTTTTCATCATCTGTTTTCTTACATCTGAATCCCTAAAAACTTTACTCTTACACCCATAAACGCAGCAATAAACTTTACTTTTAGTTTCTCTTGGGGAAAAACGTATACCCGAACTATGAACATTACTTTCCATTTTCATTTGTTTTTCAACCAACATTTTGTTTTTAATAATTGCTAAGTAAAGTTTAGTATACATTACAATTAACAATACAATTTATACCCTTATGACAGCTGACCCGTTTTCACTAGTTTTAATTTTGAACACCAGGCGGCAGTACTTGTACTTACCACTTACTAATAGTGTTTGCGTCAAGTTTTCTTTCTCTTTACAGTTCTGTTGTCCTGAGTAGTTTGCTCCCTTAGTCGGCTCTTACGACACCCACGAGATAAATAGGAGTGGTAAATCTGTCATCACTATAATAATAACAATTTAGGTATAAATATTACATGCAGTGGAATAAACAAATAAAAAAAAACTACAGGGTGGCGCAATAGAACGTGCATATTGCATCATCTTTTTTCGCGGGGTAGAAAGTGCGCGGGCGGGGGGAGCCTGCATCGTTGGGTAGGCGGGCTCATGGAGTTTTAGTCACTATGAGTCACTTCGACGGGAAGCGTCGCGCATTTTGCGTGCGCGCATTTTACGAGAACTCTCGTTCATACATCGTTACTAGGCGTTTATATTGTTCTGAATATGGACTACGGCAAATTAGTAAAGCTCCGAGTGCTAATTTAATTAAAATATGGGTACAGCGTTTTGAAGAGACTGGTTCAACGTTTAAACCACAAGCAAAAGGTTGTCCAAGAACATCTAGGACCGACGACAATATTGAGAGAGTTATGCAGTCTGTACGAGGAGATCCACAAATGTCTACTCGTAAGAGATCGTCTGTCTTACACTTATCGCGACGAAGTTTGCAACGAATTTTAAACTTGGATCTTAAACTGCATCCTTACAAGCTGCAGTTAACACAAGAATTGAAAGAGTCTGACTTCGGAGCAAGGCTCGCATTTGCTAATGAAATGCTTAATCGATTTTCCAATTTTGACAATATCCTTTTCTCAGATGAGGCCCACTTCCATATCAATGGGTTCGTAAACCGTCAAAATTGTCGTTACTGGAACAGTGAGAATCCCAAACTCAAGCACCAGAAACCACTGCATAGTCCTAAAGTGACAGTATGGGCAGCAATCTCTGGTAGAGGAATAATTGGACCGTTTTTCTTTGAAAATGCGCGGGGGCAAAACGTCACTGTTAATACCGAACGCTATGTTGCGATGTTGGAAGGTTTTTTGGCTCCAGAGCTTGAAAATTCAAGAATAGTGAATTCTAGGACTTGGTTTCAACAAGACGGAGCTACCTGTCACACATCAAATGACTCCATGGCGGTTGTGAAACAGATGTTCCCTGGCAGACTGATTTCGAAAAGAGGTGATATCCCATGGCCCCCACGTAGTCCAGACGTGACGCCTCCTGACTTTTTTTTGTGGGGATACCTCAAGAACAAAGTCTACAGTAATAATCCGAAAAACAACGATCAGCTCAAGGAGAATATCCGTGGTGAAATGGCAGCAATTACACCAGCATTACTGAAGAAAGTTTTCAATAACTTCCGTTTGCGATTAGAGGAGTGTCGTCGTAGAGAGGGTCATCATTTAGACGATGTTATTTTTAAAAAATAAACTTTAGTTATTTCTTAATAATACCTCAGTTTTATTTTAACTATACCTTTTGTATTTATTTTCTAATCAATATTTTAAATATGCACGTTCTATTGCGCCACCCTGTACATGCATAAACAAATTAAAAAAATAATTACATGCAGTGGAATACTAAGAATGATGTAACAAGCGTTTTTCCAGATAAAAGGTACCTTTTATCTAGGAAAAAAAAAGCTTTTTTTTATAATAAATAAAATAAAGTTTGTAGTGATTAATAGAGGACTCTACCTGTACATGTAAAGGTGGTAAGTTCACCCATGACCACACACGATTGGCGCAATTCAATCGAACGGTGGTTAAGGCACGATCTACATCTAATAATTGTATATTAAAATAAAACCAAATTAAGTAAACGTATATTATATATTATTCCAAAAGAAATATAAAAACATTTAGATAAAATAACTCATATCGTCATACACAGCTAACGGAAGCCTTAAATCTTTAAATTATATCGCGGTGAAGGATAGTGGACTATAATTACTAAACATATGATTAAATTCAGATTTTTTGTTTCCTGTGAAATATTCACATTGAGCTAATTAATTGCTTAAATGCCGATTAATTATAAAATCTACCGAATCTGTAAAAAACGTCAAGGAACGTTATAACAAGTTAATAAGTAAATCGCATTTCTGAAGCCTTCTTCTCGTAATTTGACGTAATAGTATAATATCATATTCATTGAGTAACAATGCAGTACTTATGTACATTTATCTATAAAAGGAAAAATTATATTGCAGTAAGTTTGACTTCTAATTGAAATGGGACAGTTCAAGTTGAAACTTGAATGTAAGTGCCATAAATGTATTATGTTCACTCTTTATACAGACTAGATTCGTAAACAAACGTCAATATATTTATGCTATTAATATCTACTTACGGGTAAACGTTAAACGTTACGAATTACCATTACCGTTAAGCTATTCGAAGGTTAATTGTCAAACGTACTCTGAACCTCAAAATAGTTATAACGATTGTTAAACGCATTCAACAGTTGAATTCTGAATAACCTCATTTTGAGGTTATGAAACATGCCACCCATGTATTTCACTTGCTCTAGAGGTGTAAGTCTATTTTCCAATTTATATTAACATGAAGCGATTGCTAAATTTGTCCAAAGAGATCCCCATAACACCAATTATAACGCTTAATATTTTGCATCTCCTTATTCGGCTAACACGAAGACTGATCGTATGCTGATGTCAAAATACCCGAAAGTTTCGTTTTACTAGTCATACAACATAGTTAACGTTTACAACGTTGCATTGCACATTCAACAAGGCTTATTTAAACAATAATTATAATATCAAAACATCACGATTTATTCCTCGAAAAGCTAGGTGCCGCCGCGATCAGACAACGTTTATCATTCTAAGGTTAATTTAATTATCACCCGTAAATAATATCTTTCAGTTTGTTAAGGGCACTCTTAAATTTAATGGTTTTTCGGGTCCCCCACTTCGTTAACAAAGAAAGAGGATATTACATTTCCAACTTCTACTTAATTCGGATTAGATCTTTAACGGGTGTCCAGACAAATTTATTTTTCAATGTTTAACTTCCTTCCGATTCGCCGAACGTAGTGGGTGTCTTATTAATCCTAAATCCTAATAATTTTAACAGAAACGCAGTTACCATAAACATATTAACTGAGTTATCGTATTTTTTTAGTTTTTGTTTATTTATTATTACACTTTACTATTCTTGTAGCAATTTGAAAACCGATAAACATTTTCCTTACGCAATCGGTCGCAGTCGGACCGAGTCCCTATTCATCGGTAGATATATATTCGGTAAGTCGAGGCCGTGAGCGCCGTCGTCCATCGGAATAGCGGTACCGTCATACACTAATGAGAACTCGTTAAGGAAAACTCATCGACGCCTAAATCCTCGGGAGAAGAATCCGGAACGTCGGCGGCCGTCGTCTATTTAGCTTGAGCGGTCTTGGTGACGTCCTCGTCGTCGGAGCAGTCCTCGTCGTGCGTGTGCGTGAGCTGGCGCGGCGTCTCGGGCCGCACGTGCGGCACCGACGTCGACGCCTGCGGACACCACCACCTTGTACTCATATCCGCTCATCGCACTCAATCGTTCACTATGGTGAACACGATTTCACTATTAATGAAGATACTCACTTTGAGGTCCTGAGGATTAAATTCGACTTGACCGACGGAGTCTTCGGAGTGTTCTTCCGTTGTGACGGCGATGGTATTACGTTGTGTCGGAACTCTCGATCTGGGAACGTAATGGAACGTGTTGAACTGTTACATCTTCTATCGTTTATGCTCTTTATATTTTGTTTCTATAAACATATACCGATCGAAAATAGACGTATGTAGATCCAAACTAAGCCTAGCTTATTATTTTAAATAAGATTTGATTAGGTTTTAAGGATTTGTATTCTGACTAACTACGGACTGATACTTGTGACGTTGCAGTTTATGTTGTATACTATTTCAGAGGCACTTCAAACTTTTTTTTTCAAATGAAGACCGCAAAGGAAATAAAAATAAAGAGTCGTTATGGACATCCGAACTAACCGGCTCGAAATAAAGGACAAAGGGAAGAGGGAGCGACACAGACCTATTGTCGTATGATTCTTCGTCGATGATGATTTGAATTTATTACAGACCTAATGAAATATATGCACATATCAAAATAAGTAGGCAATATATACATCAGGCGTGAGAATACTGTTGATAATATCATACCTGTCAATAGTTGGTGTGTCCACTGTGAAACGCTGTTCGTGTGCAACGGTCGACTCATGCGGCATGAGCATAGCCGGAGCACGGAACATATAACAGAATGGGTAGTACATCAGATTCAGGAATGACGCTGCATATAGGTCTGCATACCTCACCACCTGGAAACATGTTGTTGAAATTACACTCACGTATTATTTCGCTCCTGTTTATTATATCCAGATATTAATCCCAAAATAATAATAATAGTCTACCACATTCAATCAACGCTATCTAGTCCCAAAATAAGCAGAACTTGTACTATGGGTACTAGTCAACTGATTTAAACTCTAAATAATTGCTATTATAATTTTGGTAGGCGCACAAACTATTTTTGTAGTACCTTGTTCCACTCTAGTATTATTTCCTCATTATTCTATTAATACCTTATTATTAATAGAATAATAAGTTATTAATAAGTATTTAAAGTATACCAAGGTATTTAAACCTAAGTTTTCATACACTATTAGAATACATATCACACTACGTGTTGCAATAAAAAAAGTTTGCATATGTCATTGTGAAATTGGGTAAAAAAAACTGCAACAACGAAAAATTTATCCTGATTCACTACAGGCATTTGCAAAGCCTTTTTAAACGCTTATTACGTGTAGTTCTAAGGGGACTATGAAATAGTATACAGTTTTCGAGATTAATGCTATTAGTTATTAAATAAGTTTTTTCCCCTTTGGAATTTTCAAACAGAAGTTTTACTATACCTAACATTTGTAAAAATGAACTCAAAACGTTTGATTTAAAAAAACGAGCATGTCCGATTTTAGGTTCTCTTAATATACGTGGTCGTGGTCAGCCTGTGAGCACCGAGCAGGTGCAACCGGGTCGAAACGTCAGACGTTTTAAAGACTCATTTTTATTTAGCTATATGTATATACACAACACATACATTTATGCTAATATGAATGTATTCAATTTCTACGTTTACCAGACTCGTTTAAGGTGACGTAGCTAATTACGCAGCATTACAATTAAAGTCATAAATACTAATGACTTTTTGCACAATAATTATACTGATAATATTAATCTGTTATATAGGCAAGATACCGTAAGTCGTTCATCAATTATTTTAAATACACAACGTAACTTTATAGCATTAAGCAAAGAGACCGAGCTATAGAGCAGACAATCCTGCATCGCACAATGAAAGTTCTCGCACCTATTAATTATGTATATTACACTCAACGACCGACAGCGCTCATTGAACCCTTCAAGGCTTTTCTTTATAGCCGCATTTTGGCTTGTGTTGCATAACATAGCAGCCACTATATGAGATTGCCATAACAGGTCGTGAGCATTTTAATACGAATTTCGCATTGTGGTTTTCTGTGATTGCCACAATATAAATCCAATATAAAAGACTGTCAAACCTGTGAAGAGAAGAAAGTTTGCCTAGATCCGGAGCGGAATAGAGACCCGAGCATGCCGTACGCGAGATCCATCTTGTGTGTCACATCGCGGATCGCCATACGCAGCTTCGAGATGTCTGGCTTCTCTTTTGTACTCGAGTCCAAGTCTCTGTGAAATAAATAATATCACAAAGAGCCCTGAGGATTTAGAATTTTTTAGTGTTTCGATGTTATAATTAGCAAATAGTGGGTAAGACGCGACATTCGAAGCAAGATTTTCTTATTGATCGATTGATTCGTATCAGAAAGAAAAGTAATAAAGAGGAGCACTATTACATAAAAGACAGTTGTTTATGACGTACTTAAAGCAATTTAAATAGTTATCTACTTACTAGCAACTAGTATAAGATACTTACATTTTTAGCTAAACAAATTTAACACAAGGTTGATAAACATTGTTACTATATGGTATCTGCTACTAATAATACAATTTTTGTTTTATTCCATTATAAACAGACTTGTTTTGTAATAAACAGTGTTAAACATTAAAAACAAATCTCATGCTGAGCTGAGAGTAAGAGGTCATTGTAGATTATAAAACTTGCAAAGAACAGAAGTATTATTTACGCATTGCTGACCGTCTTTATTTTTCTATCGGTTGTTTCTGAATCTCAATGTTGAAAGTTCTCCCATTTTCTTTTAATAACTAAGGTGGCAATCCGCAATCATACCCAATCAATTTTAGAGGCCCTACTCTATAAATACTTGTAGCACATTAAGTATTTATCAAATAAAAAGTTATTCATAGTAAAATAAATGACATTTAATTATTTTTGAAATGATTCACTTCATTATTGCATAATGAAGTGAAGAAGTCTTTGCGACTGAATGAGCACTGAGAGAAACACAAGATTACTTCAATGGCAGAAAAGAAAATAACATTATATGTATGTATATAAAATCATATAAAAAGGTTCTTACTTGTACATATCACCTAGTTCTACATCTAAATTTTGTAGCTGCTGGAACAGCTGGCACTTATCCGTCCACACATGAAGTTCCTGGACCAGTTCCGGAACGATGAGAAAAGTGCGCCAACCGCCGATTTTTTTGGACTTGAGAATATCTCCGAATATGTGGTCTCCGACGTACAGCACGTCTTTGCCCTTAGCACCTATCATTTGGGTGAATACGTCGCAAGAACCTACAATTATAACAAATAAAGTAAAAACATGACGTTTGCGAGAAACTGCTCTGTCTATTATATGTAAGACACACGGCGAAGGATATACCTGGTCAGTATGAGGTGAGTACCTGTGATTTTAGTGAACTAGTATTACTATTATTACTCGAATAATTGAAACTAATAACGCAGAAACGAGTTATTTACAATTCACACACATAATATAAACGTTTAATAGTATACGTACCGAAATAACAAGTGAACTTGACCAAGTATGTATTTCGTTTGCTCCGTGTATATTCCAAAACTGTCATGTGCATAAGTACAACAATGCAAAAAGTTGTTTTTTTTTAAGCAACTTCCGTAATAGGAATATATCCTGTGACGCCGGGGACTTTACAGACATAGATAAAACGGACACAAAGAACACCTAGAGTCAAACACAAATTAACACAACGATAATAACAAACTAGAAATCTTTACTCAAAAGTTTATCCTAAAACTCACAGACTCATAAGTCATGAGTCACAGACTAGTAGACTAATACACGACCTCAGTATCAAGGGCCATAGGAGTTAAAAACATTATACATAAGACGCCAATCTTGTTTGTTACTCACTTGTACAATTTTGATCAATTTTGTTAAAATATTAAATCCAATTGTTGTATGTACTATGCAAAATGCCTACCCTGATTTGTTACCCATCATGCATAAAGGTAAGGTGCTTTAGACCGAGAGCCCACCATTAAAAAAACGGATAGTTTACCAATCTCAGAAAAAAATAATTTAAAGCTTCCAATGTTATAATGCAACGACATTGCTAAGTTACTAATCATGACTAAAAATACAAATTGTATGGTGTTCGAATGCAGAATGATTTTTTTTACCAACACTATCTGTCCTGTCTGTATAATTATGTGTTTTTTTCCTGTTACCTATACTGCTCTATTATTATGTGTGAGATGTGTGAAGTTATTATTATTAGTTTTATTTTTATTTGGTGAAAGTAAAAATTTTCAGGTTATTGATTTGCTAATGACATCGTTAAGGGTACGTATTACTTGAAAATAATCGTAGGTATTGTATAGTAAGATATAAATACTGTTGTCTAGTATTATACTAAAATCTTCGACAAGCAGGCACTTGGATAATTAATCTTGTTGTTTCACGATGCATAATAATTTTCAATACAAGATTGTCATTATAATAGGCTCGTAAAGGAATTCCGTGGTTACGAGTACAAAATTAATGATTACCGTTATTAATGATGTATTGCGCGTATAGTAGATAAGAGCTGTGTCGAAACATTGATATTTGCATAAAACAAGCAACCTTCGTAATTCTCAACGCCGAACATAACAGCAATTTAAAGTAAAGATAATACAGTCATAAAATTTAGGGTTATTAGTTATTTACTTCAAATGTTTAATAATGAATTGAATTGATTGGATTACAGTGAAATATGTAATATGTGTGTGTGTGCTGAGCTCCCGTGCATGTGTGAGTATATTAGGCACGGAACAGAGTACATTTTTTTTTTTTTATGGTAAGTGTAGTGTGTTTAAGATAGGGCGCTAAATATTAGGTCTTGTACAGTTATTAGTCAAAAAACCGTACAACAAACTATGCAAACCAAAATATTATTAATGTACAGCTGATTTATAAAAGAACTTTGTGTTTGCATACTTTGTTGTATGGTTTACACGTTCAACATATTTCGTATGTAAGTCAGTGCAGTAAGAATTTTTGGATGAACAACTTAATAGAAAATCTATTACGCAAGATTCTTCTATCAGCAGTGGATTATTGAAGGATTTACGTGATAATTCGTGTAAAACTAAACTTCATTCCTACAGCGTGTTATTACCTTATCTTTTCATACATTGTCTATAAAGAGAACATCCATATTGACAACAAAGATAATCCTGAAGATTTATTTTGTAATTCAAATGGATGTGCAGCTTTTTAAATATCCTTCAGCATTATGTTGTAAAAGAGATGTTTCGAAAAGTAGTCGTATTTTGTAAAATTTAACCACTTAAAAGATTTATAATAATTTTAACATTGCAAATACAAGTTTAAGTTCTATATAAATAATGTAAGTAATCAATAACTGCTTATCTTAAATATCTTATCAAATACTACAAGTTGTTTGTGGGATTATAATTTATACTTTGTGATAACGTGTGACCGATTACAAACATACCTTAAGAGATACCGCTGGTCCAAATATCATTATATAAATTTATCTCGTTAGTTATACAAATACACTACGAACAGCAGCAGAGTAGTATAATTAGCTAATTTAAATTCTGCTATAATCTATGAAATTCGAATAGTAAAAGGCAGCAGGGTCAATCTAGAATTATATCTAAAATAACACAGACTCACAAATAGTTTGAATTTTCTGTAAATTAGTTACTGTTAGCTGAAGGGGTTTTGAATATCTCTATATTGAGTATTCTAACTATATTAAGTAAGAAAGTTTTTTAGTTAAAAAGAGTTTTATAGTAAAGAATAAAGTCTTGGCATATAATACATTGCAATGTGAGCAGCGGCAGTAAATAGAGCTGATAAAACGTTCATTTTAGACACGCCTAGTACATGACTCGTCGATTAGTCATTATAGTCTTAGCTACATTATGTACTGCTGATAATATAGGCACGTGTTCATAAGACCTATTTCTTAGCGTTCCATGGATTCAACGTGCGGGTGCCGGGTCCATCGTGTGATAGATGGGCGCAAATCATGCGAATTCGATAGCGCCTGGGACTTGCGACCCAGGTATAAGTTTAGGGAGTACTCCTTGCGACGCGTCAGCTCTCACCTCCATGGTCTGCTGTGTTACCCCTTCCACCTAACCATATTTGATACGAGCCTAGTAATGCCGCTTTGGATATTCGTTCCAAAAAAGAGCTTACTGAAGCTCTTGGCAATCCAAGGTCTTTAAGCAGGTTATGGAGGGATTTACCTGGTATACCCCTCGCACCCACTTACACGGCATATAACGCAACGACATAAGCATTTTTAGTTATTTCGTTGGTTAAGTCAAAGTACTTGTTTCTTTTTAAAGCGTGGTCTTTAGTGATGTTCGTTTCCCACGGCACCGTGAGTTTTACTACTACTACACGTTTAATTTAATGCTTTACACGTTTAATAAAATAATATGTCTGGTCTGGACGCCGAGACACAGATATCCTCCGGTATTCTGTAATGATTTTCATACGTGTCCATTAATAATGTCCAGTCATTGGCGGTATTTATAATTGAAAACGGCTTTTGTGAAGACTTTTTTGTTGAACCTTCCTTTACAAACGCGATGTTAGTTCTTATGTTTGTTGGTATTCCTTTTTTCGCTCTCGCTAGCGATAAACTTATCGATTCGCGTATGATTTGTATCATACAGTGTCAAGGCGACGTGAATAATGACCCCAGTCTAATAGCGCCTTACAACCTGTCAGTAAGTGCCTGGCTGTACCTACTTCCGCACTGCACATCGTACAAGCCTTTTCTGTAGCTTTTCCCCACCATACTAAGTTGCTTTGATCGGGGAGAGATAATTGAAACGCGTTGAGGTAAAATTTTAACAAGGCAGGTGACCAATCGTATAAAAGTGTGTGCCATTTCAAAGCTGGTGGGATACAAAATTCTCCTAGAGGTAACCATTCATTCTGCATTTCTTTGCGTGCACTTTGTAGGGCTCGTTTTCATCTTGATGCAGGAAAATTTTTGTTATCTCTTAGTCCGTCTGTCTTCTAGCATTTCCCAATCCAATCTCGAGCTCTGATGAATTTTTGTCTTTTTAAAGGGATCTAACGATTTCGTCTTGTGCTTTTGACAAGACATGCATTTTGGTAACTCCTAGGCGTTTGTAGAGTTCCGAAAGTCTTTTTAATTTAATTCCAATATTATTCGAGCCCCTATACAACGTTGACGGGTCGGCAGATGTTGCTAGCCCGAGCCACGTCTTCAATGTCTTAGTAACTTTCGCGTCCAGTGTTCTTAAGTGGTTCTGGTTTATATCGTATACCAGAAACGGCCAGTCGAGACGTAATGTTAGGTAGTCGTCGTAAATCCAAGTTTTTTTTACGTTTCTTATTGGCTGTTGGTCTACCTTGTCAATGTCTTTTACGAAGTCATCGACTATTGCGTTCATAGATGGAGTAAGACCTTTGTAGTCTATCTTTTCTCCAAAGAATTTAAAGGGCACGGCACTAATATTATAAAAATGTAAAGTTTGTGAGTTTGTATGTATGTAACTCATAGATCGAATTGAAAAATTATTTAAGTCTTGCATAGCTATAGGCAATATAACATCACGCTACGACCAATAGGCACCTAGTATCAATGATAAATGTCACGAACGGGGAAAAATTATTGCCTTTGAGAGAAGCAGAGGAAGTTGCGCGGGTATTTATTTTATTAATTTAAATACATAAAATAAAATAATAAATAAATTACGCGGTCATATAAATTAAGCTAGTAATGTCTTTTCAGATTGTATAAACGTATTTTATTTGGGTTAAATGAAGCAAGAGATGTCTTTAAATTGGTAGATATGTTTAAGTTGTTTCCAAATCAATTTATTTTTAAAGATATGCATTTTGTTGCATGCAGGTGTATCTAGGCTCCTTAGTATGCACATTATTGGTAGGAAGGTAATCATAAGACCAGTTTTTTATAATAAATAATGAAGATATGTGATGGTCCGAATCGTATTGAGAAATTTAATTTTATGTAATTTACTTATTTTTTTTGGACAATGATTAAAAAAGTAAAGAAATTGCAACTATTTAAGCTACTTATCAGAAAACGTTCAATCTTTTACTATTACCAATCTGCTTATAGCTCGCACTCCTGTGATGTAACATACATATATCCATTTCATACATTTTTTTTGGCTGGAATATTAAAAATGGCAAACGCAATACTAGTGCCTCACAAAAATTGATTTGACGATTTTGGAAAATTTTAAATTATTATCAATTACAAGGCATAATAAGACGTTTTGCTACTATAGTTACAAATCAGTTCCACACGTGAAGTCAGACATTAACAGAAGTTGCACGTGTTCAAAGTGAGCTCTCGACCGACTACGCTAATAATAAATCACTCCATCATCGCCAGAACCGCAAAATTAGTTAAAAATAAAATAAATTATCGCAGGTAAATGAGCAACAACATATATTTACAAGTCCTATCGCGCTCTCGAAATCACCAAAGAAGAAGAGTATTGTACTTAAATATAGAATAAACACTTTTTTTGCGTGTGTTACGGACGAATTAAGAATACAAAGTGTCACCACCCCTATTTATCCCGCGGGTGTCGTAAGAGCCGACTAAGGGAACAAACTACGCAGTACAACAGTACTGCAAAGAAAAGGAAAACTGGAAACAAAACCTATACCAGCCCGTTTGGCCAGCGTGGCATAGTAGGCCAAAACCTCCTTTCTAAGAAGAGGCAAATGTCCAGCAGTGGACTATCAAGGACTGTTAATACAATAGATAGGCATACACTCCCGTACAATAATAGCGTATACTAGTAGCACTCGATAGTACCACTAACTTTACTTGAGTTCATACAATATAGCATGCCGTAATAATAAACCAAACCATACAATCAATTCAATGGCTCGATACAAGAACTATAGTGTATAGTATTTATAGTTTACTACTAACCATAACGAATCGCATAAGACTTGTAATACGTATTCGCCTGGAGCTCGCAAGAGGGAAAACAACAAGTGCGTAGGCGTCTATGTATTTTAACAACGACTAACTTTTTGAAACTATCGTTTGTTACAGTGCTCTTTTTAGATCTCAAACAATTATTGCATTTCTGTGTAACTCATTTGTTTATCTGTCTCTGTTTTTCCGTCCCGCCCTTCTCAAGTAATGCGTTTACCAAAGAAGAGTATTTCAATTTTATTTAAATAGAATCATCATTTTAGATGAAAGTAGGTTCATTTTGTCCAATAAAAGGAGCTAACAAATATGATTACATCATAAGTTGAATCCTTAATAATAACGACCAAACAGTTTCAAAGCAATTTAGTCATCACAATTATATTCATCTCTACGTAACGCCAAGTGATTGAGCCGATCGGAGATGTATGGGCTATCGACGATTCGAGTCGCTCTTGTTGGATGCGGTCCAGAGGGAGAAGCTGGTACTGAGGTGCCCCTGCATAGAGATGAGAACAGTATTCCATATGCGGTCGGACTTGCGCCTAATAAAGCTGAAGGCGGTGGGCCGTAGTGAAATACTGCCTCGATCTGTTCAGGACACCGAGCTTCTTCGAGGCCAATTTGACCTTACCCTCTAAGTGACCCCGAAACTGGACTTCGCTCGATATGTATTCTTTTGAGAGTATTTACGAGTAATTAATAATATCATTATTATTCCACTACTGGTTAAATTCCTACAAACGATCACTGTAATCAAACAACTCTTAATCAATAATGTAGTCAAATTTTGCCCCTACACCGATAGATGGCGGTGTAGCGTAAATTTAGATCGCGACGTTTTTTTTTATGTTAGAGAGGGCAGACGAGCAGACGGGTCACCTGATGGAAAGTGACTATCGCCGCCCATGAACGATAAAAAATAATTAGATTTCAGTGAGATGTTTATATTGTTCTATGAGTATAGCTTAATCGGTAAAAAAACAGTCTCGAGTGTGAAAGTGTATGTGTTTTATTCATCATACCATCATTCGGTAAGATACGGTGAACACGGATTTTGATCCAAATTTCAAGGATATACCTAACAGTCCTATCTATTTTAATAAGAGTAAACAACAGAGGATATTAAAGAACACTTAGATAAGAAACGCTCCACCTGCATAGTTAATCAGATAAACGCATACATCCAGTATGGTATCGGATGACTAACTGTTAAATTTACTAGGCATTCCGCATGTCGTAACTATCTGTTACTAACACAAATTACAGGAAATAACACAGGGTATGAGTTTATACAATTAACTATTTTAAATAGTGAGTATTTTTACCTCCTGAATAAACGAGTCCTTCGTGAAGTGGTCCAACATGGTTACCCATTTTCAAAGCACCCGTTTTTGTGTCTACTTGACGCAGCGTCGTTCCTTCGCCGAAAAATAGTGGTTTCCTTGCGTCCACTACGATCCAATCAAAGTAAGTCTTCCAATTTCTTGGAGGCTCTTTTGTCTACAAATAAAATGTTACTCGATTTCTAAATATCAAAATACTTTTTCATACATAAACCAATCATAATTAGTGATTACGCGTTTAAATTTAGTGGCTGTATTACATATTTTTCACCAATTTTAAGAGGTCCTTGCAACTTGAAAATTTCCACATGTGTTGGACCGGTGACCATAAAAGACCAAAAAACTATAAGTTAATAAATTATAGTTTATAAAGCTTTTGCAGCTAGCTGAACTTAAAAGTAGGAAATAATTTTTAGTTTAAAAAGAAAAAAAACATTTTATCCTAAAATAGCACGGGGTGCTAGATTTCAATTGTTGCACAAAACATTTTCTGCCCGGTATTGTTAAAATTAACCTTGAAACACCCCAAAATTGATTATTATGTTATTAAGACTAAAAAAGTAACAGGTAAGTATATCACATATGCTTCGGCACACGCCTTAGTAGTACGTGGCAATAGACTGATCTGTTCTGATCAGGGCCTCAATTCTGCTATTACGCCAAGCCAGTGTCATACCACTGACACGCTATTGAGATGCCATCGAGTGGCCATTGGCATCGGTATAAATATCGGTAGTTGAAAATATATTACGTTTTTTGAGGAAATGATTTATTTGTTTTTAATAAATTATTAAAAGAAATAAATAAATTAAAATAACTTATTAAAAAAAAAAATAAAAAAAAAAAAAAAAAAAAATAAGTTATGAAAAACTAAAATATAAAATTATAAAAAAAAATAAAAAAAAATTATTAACAATAAAATAAAAATAATATTAAAATAAATATATTTTCAAATTATAAGGAAATGATTTGTTTATTTAAATTGTTTTTAATTTCAATTTTTTTATTTCTTTTTTTTTATTCTTTTTTTTTAAATTTTATTTTTTTAATAATTTACTTATAATTTACTTTAATTTACTAATAAATAAAAATAAAAAATCATTTCCTCAAAAAACGTAATATATTTTCAAATTATAAGGAAATGACTTATTAATTTAATTTTTTATTTTATTTTAATAAATATTAATTATCTTTTTTTATAATTTTATTTTTTAATAATTTATTTATTTCTTTTAATAATTTATTAAAAACAAATAAATCGTTTCCTCAAAAAACGTAATATATTTTCAACTACCGATATTTATACCGATGCCAATGGCCACTCGATGGCATCTCAATAGCGTGTCAGTGGTATGACACTGGCTTGGCGTAATAGCAGAATTGAGGCCCAGGATAATAGGGCAAACAATTTAAATTACTACATCGGTCCTTGATAAGTGTGCAAAGTTTCGATTTAATTCGAGGTTGATGTGGGTCAATTTCACGTTCGAAGATTGCGTTATATACATACATACCAAGCTAATAAAAGCGTGTTAAAATCTAATAATACACGATTTAATAGCAAACCGGGTGTACAAATACAAATTCTTTATTTACTACTAGTAGGCATTTTACTATATGTAATATGAGTTTTTAGTTTTACAATGTTTAAAGCCTATTTAGCCGTCATAAAGCTATCTTTTCTTCTTCTTTTTTTAAAAAGACAACTCCCGCATTAGGAATAAAACCTGTGTCGCGGGGGACTTTACAAACATACATGAAACGGACACAAAGGACACCCAGACTCAGAACAACAATTTGTGGATCACACAAAATGTTGTCCCATTCTTTTATGTTTACAAACACTAAGCTGCACGAACATCCTTCACTGAGATATTTGCCAAATATAAATATAATTGATGGTCGTGTGTTTTTGGCGTATCATCAGGTCAATAATTCGTTTAGCTTTATATAAATCGTACAAAGGGCTGGTTGATTAATTAAATTACCAAAGTGAACTCTTCTTTTAATTTTTTTAACTAAATCGGTAAACCTTAGCAAACCGGTAAACCTTAGTCGGTAAACTTAGTAAACTATAGCTTATAATGTCAGAACTTCACTGATTTAATAAATTATAGCTTTAAGTAAATTAATATTTAGTATTAATGAGAATTAAAACTTATCGTGAATAGTTTTAAGTTGACTTTTGTATTTTATACTACCAAAAATATAAATCTTTAAAAATGTTACCTTTACCCCGGCCTTGTCCCGTGGGATGTCGAATAGATAGTTCATTATTCTGTCCGTAAAGTTGTAGTCGCTGTTTGTTAAAATAAAGACCTTGGCGCCACTCTCTCTTATCCTCGACAAGAAGGTAGGCAACCTATCATCTTTATTTAGATATAAGTCCATATTTTCTGTGGTCTTGACCTTCAAGTCACCGTGAATGTGTACGTAGTCGACCGCATTTCTTACATCTTGGAAGATTGATTTGAATGACATCGCTAGATCTCCTGCTCTTACCCCAGTTTTTTCTCTGTTATATAAGAAAAATAGATTCACGAAATATATTTAGATGATTCAAAATAAGGAAGGTTAAATTTATTTTCTTTTCATAACATAGTATCTAATAATATACGTGTGCAAAACCTAAAAAAATGTTTACAGTTATTTTGAAATATGTGTTGACATCATTATAGTGGAGGGTTTGACATTAAACTATTAATTTGTTAGAGTAAAACCAGTGGTGGGCGTGGTATTTGTCGTTCTGGAGACTGGAGTTTATCTTACCTTTTCTACTATTGTACAATGATAAAACGCTAAGAATTCATTGAGTAAACACTCAAATTGTATGATATATCTACAAACTGCTATCGCACCAGTTTAAATGTATGACTGCATTTAACAATAAAGCTCTTGCTGTCTTATTTACATTACGGCTAACTGTATGACAATAAATTTTTACTTAAGTTAGTTTTGTTTGACATATCTTACCTTTGGTATTGCGGCGAATTAGTGAAAAAATCTATCAAACAAGCTATGAGATACGTCTCTGGCAAGTTGAATAGAGTGTTCAACACATATACCCTCGACTCGTCTAACTGTAAAAATTTATTGGGGTACAATTCGTATACTTGTGAACTGAAAGAAAAAAATATCATAAATAGGCACATTTAAAACATATACTAACTATTAACAAAAAAATAGTATTTTAGGTGTAATGTTCACAACATCCAAAACGTAATACAAATAGCGAATACGGGTAGACGAATATAGAATGAGATATTGATAAACATGAACATAAAAGTAGAGTAGGCAATAAACAGATCTTGGTCTAAATTTAGTTAAATGATGTCACTGATCAGACATCAAAGGCCAGCATTAAGTAGAGCAGCTATACATTAGACTTCTATGTCTTACACCTTGCTAATACCAATACAAGGTGTCCCGTGTTGTACGAGACGAAACTAACGAATGATGACCAGAAACCATACTGAACTTACTGTTTAAGAAATTCAAATCCGTGGACGCATACTAAGATGTTGCCGTAAGCATCAACTTTTAATAGATTCCCATATAATGTGTCGAACCACAGACCTCTGAAAAAGACGACAGTTATAAAAAGAGGCATATCTTGCATTTACTTTATCAATAATTCAATCTTTAATTTACTATTGTGAAACTTACCTTACAGGAAATGAAGGATCGTACTCAAATTCCAATATTTCCTTTGGATAACCCTTGTGTACTAATCTCTCTTTGGTTAAATTAAATCCTAAATTTTCATACTGTGGTGATTTGTACTCTAGAAAAAAATAAAAACAGTCGTCATCATGAAAGCTTTGGTACGTCCTAACTATAAGACTAATAAGAGATAGACAATTATAGTAATCCGTACTCTGTGTGTAGAGTAGTCGTAGGTGTAGAGATACGTTTTACAATTACATTATACACAATTACCTGCCAATGTGTAGTCCATATCAAATCCATAAAATTTAACATTTTCTAAATGTAGCGATCTATTTACAAAAATTCTGAAACAAACAAAAAGACTAATGTTATTTCGAACAAAAATTAAGATTTTATCTTAAGCTTGGACGTCAGTTGAAAGATAAGTGTAATTAAGGTTTTTTTCCAAGGAAACCATTAATTTTATCGTATATGTATGTTGCAAATATATATACACGAAAAAAACGCTCTAACAAAGCTGTGAAACGACATTGGAACTCCAGTCGTAAAGAAATAACTTAGATGGCCAAGGTTACTAGTGTCTTAAATTCATGTATGTATAAAAACATCAAAGCAGTGGAAGATTTTTGATGAAGTGAAATAAGAATATGTTTAAAATTAAGTTTAAATTTTAACAATTAATTATATTGTAAAAAGCATGGACTGCTCGATAGCAACTGTAACTATAATCATTTCCATGTGTAGCATTTATAAAAGTAGTAAGTATTGTTACAAAAATATAGTAAAATGCGCCCCACAGATGTAACAGAGAAATTTAAGACAAATAAAAACAAAAACAAGCGCCTTATTAATACAAAACACAAGAGGGAGCATATTTATAAAGTTAGAATACTGTTCATCAATTTGCACGTCGTCGGATGTTTACTTTTTGCTGGTACAGCAGCGTTAATCAGCAATGTCGCATCCGCTCTTATTCTCCGAATCTTAGCACGAAGATAAGAAATATGTCTCCACGTTGCTAAGGGTTTGTGATAACAAACATGCCAATACATCAAAATTACTCGAATTCCTAATAGGTGATAAAATAAATAGATGTGCTATCGTCAATTTAAATACTATCAAAAGAGAACCGATATTACTTAAGATCAAGATTGCTACTGACAGCCTGCTCAAAATTATCAATTGCTAGGCTGTGTAACAAAGATATCTTTATCATAATAGTACCTCATTAGGTAAATATGGTGTACTTATATGGAAAAATGTAATGTTAATATAATTACGGGCCTGTTGGTCTAGTGGTAAGTTACCCTGACTGCTAATCCGGAGGTCGTGGGTTCGATTCCCACTCAGGATAAATAATTGTGTGATGAGCACGATGTTTTATTTTGTGTCTGGGTGTAATTTATCTATGATATGTATGTATTTAGAAATATATAAGTATGTTTATCAGCAGTCTGGTTCCATAGCACATGGAATCAGACGGCCGTGTGTAAGATGGGTGAAGTTATTATTATTATTTTCTTTATTTCATTAAATATACATATAAATTACATTTTGAAATATATTTATATATAAAAACAACAAAAAAAACATTTAAATATATAAAAAATAGTGTATCGCTATCGGGTACAGGGACCAAGATATCGGTGGTTAGGACTCCAGAGACAGAAACTTCCTCACAATACGTGCCGTATCGAGGAGAACTGCTTTCTGCATAAGGCCCTTCATCCAACTGCCTATTATTATTAATTTTTTTATTATATAATATGTCTATAATACGTATAATATGTCTCCGGTAACATTAGAACTTTACAGAACTGTAAAGTTTAAATAGTGGAATATCTGGAAATAATATGGTCTTAACAAGTTTCTTTTTACAAAATCTTTGCCAGTTTATTAGTAAACTAAATCATATAGGATCCTTAGTGCTGACACGATAAAGAACTACTAATTCAGATGTGCCCAAATTATGGTAAATTCAAGTAAACTGAGCGACTTTACAATTAATGAGGTTATCGCACAACATACGCAAAAAAAAATAGTCAAATCAAGAGCTACTTTCGTTTTGGAAGACCGTAAAATTTTGCGATTTACCCTGTAAACATAAACTATCATGCATAACGAAGTTTCATTTCTTAGTGACTATAACTCCTATTATCGTATAGTACTGTTGGCCATCATCAGTTTGAGTTCACTAAACAACTTATCCAGGATTCCATGAGCAGATCTTCACCTAATGACAATGGGCCCACAATATCTCTGACACAAAAAAAATTGAATTTTTGAATTCAATCAAGCTGGCTTCGACCTTCTCTTACTTCTGCAGTAAGTAAAAATCTTCACACAGTCGCTATACGATGAAAATGAAGTCTTGGCTACAGTTTGATGTCCATTTTAATATAATTTCTATAGTGCATAACTATATCTGTTAAAATGACACTAACGCCTACAGCGGAGCACTGAATTGCAGAATTCAAGTACCATGCCAAGAGCGTGTGCGACATTGAATGGTTCCAGCGATATCGATATTCGTGTAGACAAAATAATCCAGAGCTGGTAAAATATTTACTGAATTTCAATGCGCTAAATGTGTAACAGAATAAAAAATAAAATGTAGTTAATTATCATACATAAAAGAAATAACTTTTATATTTACAGATATGTATTCTGATAATTTAATATTGAGATGAATTGCGAAAGCTGTAATTTTAATAAGTTAAGCTGTAGTGGAAATAAAAAATTATAATTACGTTTTAGTCCTGGATTGTCACAATAAAGTAAGATATAAGTATTTTAAAAATCGGAAATGGAGGAGGTTCAATGTATGTTTGGCGGTATATATGTTTACATGTATGTTTAACGTCATTTCCGTCATCGATGGACAGATTTAATTATTTTAAGGGGTCTTCTCCAGTGTATTCCATTTATACGAAACCCTACAAACACTAGTTTCTATAGAAAGAAACTAAGAAAAAAAACCATCATAATTTAAGGGGCATTTAGTTAGTTTCCAGATTTTTCTTATAATTAAGCAATATTAACATTTGAGCACATTCGTGACATTTGAGCCCTAGATTTTTACATTTCCGACAGGTGGTCACGCTAGCGGCTTCAAACACCGGCCACATGTCAAACTTCTTTTAAATGTTACTATAGAAATATATGCTTATTAATATATTGGACCCAATGGTTGTTATTATTATAAAGAAATAAATTATTTGGTTATACAAGTTGCTAAAATATGCGTTGCAATAATTTATGGTTCAATTCACACTAGCTATAACAATATCGTTAGTTAACTCACTCGTTTGGCGCTGCTGTGTATCTGTCCCCTTTGCCATATGAGGACTCGTTAGCGGGCTCTGGGAACAATGTTACCGCTGTTCCGTTTGCCATGACACCTTTTATTCTCATGATAAACCACTTAAAATTAAATCAATGAATAGCTATGTCACCACAAAAATCAATAAACTTGTTAACACTTTCTAAATTGGACCACTATAAACAAAAAGACTATATTCAAATACTATAACACTCAAATGATATTTCACTACAAAGCGTTCCAAGCATACCTAACTCAGGAAATATTTTTGAGTGAATATCCGCGACAGTAACAAGGTTAAAAAGAACGAGTCGTATGGACGGAAGGAAAGCTCGAAAAAATATGTGTCATTATTGTTACCACTAATTAATGACTAATTATTACAAATGTATTTCATAGAAGTATAGGCAAGAATTTAACGTTTTTACGTAAAGCAATTTATATTCAATTACCTATGTAGTTATGTTTTAATATTATTTTTTACTTTAATATTAATAGAATAATAGTTTGTAAAAGGTATTAACATATTAAAAATAAAGCACAGACATACACTTTTAGACAAATGTTATGGATGTTTCACTACATGCATGTCATATAGTATATTAAGGGAGCACCTTTAACTCTACAGCCGTTTCAAACTTTATAACGGATTGGGTTCTATATTGAGTTCTATCTATATAGTATCTACATGTCTGGGATGCACTGCAGAGCGCATGGGGGAACGGCTGCCAGGAAGCGCCAATCGATATAGGTGTAATTCTAATATCAACATCTTCGAACTCGTTATAGCACAATCAAAAATATTTGATATTGATTAGATTTAGTCTTTTTGTGCAAACTCAACCAAATGACAACAATATTCTTCTTTGTACATCGACCTTGTTTGCTTTATTAAATAAATAACGAACGAAAATATTGGAATTACAACAACTACAAACGTTCAGACATATGACACGGGATGTTGCTGTTGTGAGTATGACTCACAAAGAAAATAGTAACAACAAAACTTGGAAGCAATGACTCTTATAAAATAAACTGCTCTTTGTTAATTCAACTATAACGTTTACAACAAAAATATCAAAAGTATCATGCGTAATAAAATGGCATTAGAAACGTAAGTAGGGCATTTAAACAAGTTACACTGGAAATCATCGCTTGCACAACAAATAATGCAGGCCATGACTGAGTTATATGCGCAGTTTATACACTTTCAACACCTACACGACAATATATTAAACCTTGTTACTGTCATATTTCCTGTTATCCATATTAATACATTAAATTGAATTAAACAAATCGTATCACCACTATACTCGTTGACACTGCAAATATCAACACCACTAATCTTTAACGTGACTTTGAACTAATTTTCCACAGAACACAATACAAACTTTACACTAGGTAAACGTAACAAAACCGGACGATAACAGAATTCTATCAATTTAGTGTTATGTGCGTGCATCGACGAGGACGTCGCGTATACTGACGTTGTATCAAAGCCGACGCTTCTCTATACCGTATAGGCACCGACAACATTCACTTCCCCCATCGCAGCAAACAGCTGATTCGCTAACCAACAGCGTCAGAGATGAGGTCATCACTAAGCTGTGAACCAACTCGTGTTAGATTTAATATATAACCATTAGAAAATAATGGTTTTAACACTATTGTCAAGTTTAAATTTAATAGACTTAAAATTGAATTATTTACTTATATTGAATTTCAGTTTGAAACGTATTGATACTATAAATATAACACTACTTGCTATTGTAAACATTCAAAAAGCGGCCAAGTGCGGTGTCGGGCTGCTCGCAATCAAGTTCCGTAGTTTATTACTACCCGTTATAAATAGAAACAAAATGATTTTTTTTTTCAAGTACTTACTCTGTCTAAGCTAAATCGTAGACGGACAGACAGGTGGTCATGGCAAAACTAAAATGATTCCTTGTTGAAATTACGGAATCCCAAGTACCTTGACATTTTCGATTTGAAAACTTCATCTGCGTATCTATAAAATAATGA